GGCCCTTTTCCAATAGATTAGAAAGCCAATTCCCCACAGAGATGTAATCAGTTAATTTATGCAAATGCTTTTGCGAAACTGAAGGTATAGCCATATCCACCTCACCTTTAGTGAACCTTTAAAGAATAAAATGAAAAATGACGAGCAGTTTAATGCTGATAATCACGAACAATTTCTCTGTTGCAGTTTCTCCATCATGTGGTCAAAGGTTGAACTACAAAACAGTTTTGAACATAAATATAATGAGAATTTTAGACAAGAATGGTCACAGTTTTAAAATGAGGGCTGTGGAGATGCATCTCTGCTGAAGTTACATAAAGAATTGAGGTTGTGTGCTATCTTCAGCTGTAATGTGTATTCACTTAGGAGAAGCATTTCACAGAAGCCCAAAGCCTGAAAAGGGAGAACAAAAAGCATTTCTAATGTGAGTTTATTAAAGCTTAATAACACAAAAAAAAGAAAAAGAAAACACAGTATGTCAGAAGAGTTAGCTGGGAGATCCTGCAGATATTAGACCAAGACTAAAAAATGTTATCCCGAAAGAGGCTTTAAGAAAGACAATGATAGATGGGAAAAATGACTAAAAGCATTCCTCATGTATTCAAAACAGAGAATTAAATGAAAGACATATGACTCTTGAAAAAATGTAAAAGTCTGCCCGGATACTTTACCAAAGACCTGGCACAACTTTGCTTTTTTCAGAGGATAATGTCCCCACTATCAATGTCAAGATCCAGAGTAAAGAACGATGAGGGAAACCACATTTTATGGATCTGATTGGAAACTTGAAAGCTGAACTCTTTCATGACCACTGTTGAAAAAGAGGAAATGAAAGTTGCCAAAAGAGTAAATGGCCATTCATAATTTAGGCAAGATGACTAACGTGAGATCCACCACAGTTCAAAAAAATGTTATCTAATTTCCATTAAATGTAGCTTTAATAAACAATTCATTTTATCTTTGTTATAATCTATATATTAGTGGTGAAATTGATAAAAACTAGGCTTAGAAGTACAAAGAAATACTATTTCAATATTTCAACTCAAAAGGTGAAACTATATTGTGTACATTTCAAGTGTTTTTTCTTATTAATTTGAACTTTTTGCTGTTTTTGTTTGACAACTGGACATGATTTTTAAGCACTAGGATTTTTGCCACACAATTAATTTTCTAGATCAACAACAACAAAAAAAACTCAGTCAGAAAGCAGATCACAGAGGTTTATGGTTTTATTTTGACACAGGAGTTTTCAACATCCGGTCAGTGGGATCCAGTACACTACATTACAGGTTTCAACCAACCAGACACTCGTCAACAAACAGCATCACCAGACAAACAGGTAAAGGAGAAGGTAAAACAGTGTGACAGTGATTCTCACACTAGTCCCAGGCAGGGCCTCGCTCTGCTCTTTGACTCTGATGCCATCTTTTTGAACCACAGATACATCACATCACATGTACAGGGAAAATGAGAGCGCACCAGGTGCCTTGTAGCGAACGCACAACGAAAGTCTGAATCATTTCAGCCATTGCCAACAACACCACAACAACTTATCTTTAAAAGAACAGGAGCTAATGCCTCAACATCAGCACAGCCAGATCACAGAGTAAATAATAGTAGGGGAAAAAAAGAAACATTCAAGATGAATCTTTTAACTTTTACTGGTAGTTTATGTTTACAGCAGTTATTTTTTTTCAGCTTACCCTGAATTCACACAAGTCTAGATGAGCGTTTTCTTTTTTTTTCTTTTTTTATGAATCCTCCATGATTCATTGTGGCTTGATAGCTGAGTAGCAATAGAAAGTAGGACGAAAAGAAAACATCACTTTGAAATAACATGGCAACCAATAGGCAACATATTACAGTATAAAAGTAAAAAAGGAACAAAAAGCTGAATTCTAATAAAAAAATGTTTATTGTGCACAAAAGGCACTCAAATGTTGTGTTCTACTTACACATAAATAAAGACAAAGTGTTAAATATGCTTCATTCATGTAATCAAATACTTTATGGAACTTTTCTTTCTCATGGATTTAAAAAGATTTGAAATACATGAAAGGAAAACAATAAAAACCTATTGGATCAGTTTAAGCGTCATAGATTCAGATAATTCCCATCATGCCCTTGATGACTTGATAGCTGGTTTACTACACAGAATCATACCAGTAAGAACCAGAAGAGGGCGCTTTCTGTCTTTGAAACAGCATTGACTTTAGCTTCAGAAGATTACTCTTCTCAACAACAAAGCCACAGAAACACCAATACATCCTTTAATGAGAGTTGAAAAGTTAAATTTACATCCAGTAAATATTTCCAGTCTGCATGGTGTATCTGTGGTCGAACTGTGAAATCAGTACCCAGTGTAGGATCTGAGATAGGTGGAATCATCACCCAAATCTATGGGAAACCAAAAGTGCCAAAATCCAACAAGAAAATCATTTGTGAATCAAATATGCATATAGATATGAATGTGTAAAAAGCATTTTAAAACCACAATTAATTAATGAATTTATGAAATAAGTAAACTGTGCATCTGAACTCATAATCCAGATTTCCTGATCTACAGTTTCTAATGAAATAATTAAAATCATTAGGGTTAGGGTTAAGGTTATAGACAATAACATTTAATTGGTTAATCTGCAAAGTAATTTCATTGCAGGTCAATCACCTTGTCCATAACACTGAAATAATTAAATGAGCTTTAAATATCTTACTTAATGACTAGCACAACTACATCATTATTTCATAAAAAATCATGAACATTTAGTCATCTACTATGTATAATTTAATCTAAATGATCACAATGATACATATCTATTTTATGACTTACTTTTTGAATTGTGGCACTTTTAGGACAGTTTTCCATTCACTGAAGCAACTGCACCAACATTTTATTTAACTGAATATTTTCAACCCTGTAAAATAAGAGGAACTTTTTAGTCCAGATGTTCTCAATCTATGCATTTTACCACGAAGAGGCACCACAATACAGTCACTGAGTCTGATATCATGAACCCCACATTACAGTGCAAACATGCAGAACTGAGCAGGCTCTTTGGGTTGCAGGTTACAAGGTCTCTGCACTACATGTGTCAAAAGACAGAAGTTACAGCAGATCTAAACACTGACATATTGTGATGTGGATCGAATCCAGCAATAAAAACATTGGAATGGTATTAACTCTGAGCATTATTGTGTCAGCCACACGATAAACACAAGGCTTGGAGTAAATAGCATAGTCTGCTAACACTGGACTAAGCCATTTATAAAAAATAGAAACTTCTCACATTTATCAGGATTATGGAGGTCCAAAATGCCATAAAGTTGTAAATAAATAAATCATCAGATTTTTTTGGTAATATATAGGTTATAGCTGAAAATATAACATTGGAAATGAATACATATGAAACATAAATAAATGTGTCTACAAATACAATTTTAAAGAAAATCATCATATATATATATATTTGATTGGTGAGCCTGCAGAGTAAGCCAGTCTTAATTAGTTAACAGGACCAATGGGAGCTCTGACTACTGACTGACGGATAAAAAAACAAAACATTTCTGATCTATTACAGCAAATAGCCATAAAAAAAACTATAAATAGTGAGATAATTATTTTATTTTATAAAATACATATTTATGACACTCTTAATTACACATGTCTAAAATGATTAATGTAACTCTTTCCATTTTTAATTTACTATTTATAGAATTTTGTAACAATTTAATGATTTATTTATTCAATCAATTTTGGCAAATTCTGACCTCCATACTGGATTTTACTGTGGAAATTAAATTTGAAAAAAAAAAAAAACCTTACAAATGTTGAAGTAACTAAAAAAAAAAAATTAAACCTTTAATATGAAACAATCTAGATGAAAATGGTGCCAAGATAGAAAATATTTTAAGCAACATTTTTAAAAAAATCCTTTAATCAGCCTTTGCTCTTTAATGCTACAGTATTTCCAAACACACTCTAATTACAGAGTACATTGTAGAAGATCTAAACTGTATTTTTCTATCAAATAATTTCCTTGTAATTTACTGAAAATAATACAAATGTGTTTTAAGATCTAAGCGCAGGTCAACCCATCTTTGTTTTCTTTTGTTTCAACCTGTACACGATAAAACACTTACAAATTACTAGCTCTATGGTCTGTACAAGTTCCCTACAGGATTCCTTCATTATGTGGTTTGTTCATTTTCTGCATTTCATATACATGAGAACAAACCGCGGACAGGGCCGTGTTCAGTCTGCTCTGTCCAACCATGCATTATGGGGGGAAAATATTTTGCTCTAGTACCATGGCACTGATTTGTCAAGTTTCTTCATGCCAAAATGCTTCATCTGCTGCAGTGTTGCCACACTCATGCCAATTTTTAAATCCAACACATAAAGATAACAAGGCATTTTTTTTCCTAGAAATGTTGGATAATTTAAGCTTGTTGCATTTTTTCCTTCATAGTGATTAATATATAGAAGTTTCCACAATGGTTAACAAGCTCCATCCCAAGTTTGCCCTTTGCTCTCCTTTCCATGCATGCAGAAATAAATATCGCCCTGGTGTCACATTGTTCTTGTACTAAAACCAGAAAACATAATGATGTTAGGTAGGTTTGTTTGTACAAGTGCATCTCAATAACTAAGAACATCCTTGAAAAGTAAATATATTAATTTAATATAATTAGAGAATTGAAAGTACAACAGACATTCTTTATGCACAAAGTTATACATTTGAAGTGTTAACTTTTTATCATTTTCAAAATAATGGTTTACAGCTAGTAAAAACCTGAAATTTTGTTTCTCAAAAAATGTGATATGACATGAGACCAACAATATGTTAAATCTTTTAAAATCAAGCTTCAGATTAATGACTTGGACAGCTTGGCAGCAGACAATCCAGCCAATGTTCAGAAGGAGGGTATGCAATACAATTTAATTAATACAGAAGATAAAGGTATCCAGGCGTATTATTAGAAAGTTAAGTGGAAGAAAGTTAAGTGGAAGGACAAGGTACTGGAAGGAAACGCATTAAGTTATTTGAGGTCTATTGTGAGGTTTTGTCAGTCAGTGGTAGTAAGTGGATACGTGATGATAATGTTAGTTTTGGTCCACTCTGTCAAAAGTTTTCCACACCTGCCAAAAGTATGAATACTTGCTTTGATAGTCACGGCACCATTTGCTTGATTAGCCAACAAATTCTTCAGGCCCAAATACCACAAAGCATATCAAGTGCATAGACAAAAGAAGAATGAAAGATCCAAGACGGATATTCACTAACTTTATAGCAAGGTAATGTTTCTGGACTAAATTATTATTTTTTTTTTTTCCAAAGGTGATGTTGTAATTTGTGAGAAACTGAACATTGGGGTTTTTAAGAGCTGCATGCCACAACCATGTTAAGAAATGAACAGAAACAAACAACTGTGTGTGATGAATAAATACAATTTAGTTTTTGAAATGATTATTAAGATAAATTCCTTTTTTAAAGATACTCTAACTTATCAAGATGCACCTGTATGCAGAGCCATAAGGTCAGAGCCCTGGACGGTAAACAAAGGATGTGTTTTAGTGGTTTGACACTCGTCCATGTGATGTGTTATCATACAGGAGAGATGGAAAACATCAGCTGGACTGGATGTCACGAGTGGGAATCTTTTTTTTTTCCACTCAAGTATTGCTTCAATGGCCTTCAACAAATCTCTGAAACGAGAGCATGGCCATAGATTTCTGTTGAAGCTGAGGTATAACTGAAGTTTACATAGTCTTTTACACAGTAGGTCAAGTTTCAAAGAGCTGTATGACAATAAACCCCTACAGCATCGTCTGCTGCTTTGTCACCATGATAACCCAGAGACTCCTGTACAGTGAGGACAATATTTTTCTCTACTTTAAGGAATATTTTCTTGTTTTGATCATCTTTTCTCCCTTCTACAACAGATTCCACTTCTACTACATGTTGCCAGTCTTATCCCCAGTATCACCTGAAACATTGACATTGGACCCTGTGGCTGAGCTGTTACTTGGAAACAGTTTTTCAGTGGGAGTCACAGCAGGACTGCCAACCCCCGAAGAGCTGGAGCTGCTCGAGCGGTGCTGCGTCGGAGCGGAGCGAGTCGGTCTCATGGCCGGGGGGCGCAGCTGAGCTCCGGCCAGCCGGGCGGACAGGGCGGGTTTGAAGGTGGTCATCATCTCAGAGGTGGAGCTGCTGCTGCGTCGCATGGCTGCATCCGGGTCACGGATCATGATGGTGTGAAGCGGACTGCCCGTCTCTGAGCTCGCCGGGTTCTTCATTGGCTCCAGGGTGTCCAGGACCACATCGGGGGCCTGCTTCACAGTGTTCTGGCGCTCCAGCTCCCGTAGCTCATGGAGTGCAGTACTCATGGTCTTCTCAATGTCCTGAAAAAAGACAGATACAGAACTTGATACTCAAGACTGTTTTAAAGCACCTTAAAAATAGAAGGACCCTGTTAAGTTTAATTTATGAACTGTAGATCTTATTCACACATTACACTAAATCTTGTTTTAAAAAAACAAGATTTACGACAGTGTCCAGAAAAGTATTCATACCCCTTGATCTCTCTTTTTGTAAACTGTCAATTATAGCTGTAAAGTCTTTAAGAGTTAAGTTCTACTATTTTTACACATCTAGAGAGATTTCACTCAAAAAAAGCTTAACTTCAGTGCTGATGAAGAGCATTCGAGAAAATACATTAGAAAATATTTCTCTGGATTTAGGCTATTGAACATGTGGATTTGGATTTGATCAAAACTATGTCACTGCAGTTCAGGATGGGCTCTTAGTTTTATTGTCCTGCTGGATGTCAAATGGCACTTATAGTTTTTTGTCAACAATCATTTTCAGGGTCACTTGTTTGTTCTTTGCAGCTCCTCCAAAATGATTTTGGGCCTCTTCTATGATTCATGTCCTCATTGTCCAGCCTGTTGCTTTTTAGGCTGATGTCTGCTTTTGATTTGTTGAAGTCATGTACAAATACTAATAAGCTACTGAAGATAAAAGTTTGTTGCTGTAAGGTAAAAAATGTCTTACCTCAGCCAGAGCCTCGGTCTCCAGTGTTTTGTGGTCCCCCAGGCTGCTGTGGCGAGTGGCCCCTGGCACTGGTCTCAGAGGGTGGCCCTCTGGATATGCCTTCCTATCCGGATAGTTAATACTGCCTGCACTACCAAAAGTGCCAAGTCGCCTTTTCTCTGGACTTTCCATGCGAGCTTTGCTAATGGATATTTTATGAGGACTGCTGGGACAGGCAGCAGCACGCGGCGGAGTGTCAGGTACTCTGGTTGGGCTGTGGGTCTCTGCACCGCCGCTCCGATGGCACGGGACTGCAGCGCCATCTGATCGTAGCCGGACCCTAGAGAGGAGAAGCCAGACAAATCAATTAGAAACACTTCAGTATCAAACCATTAGGACTTAAAATGTGGCTTTTATATTTTTGTCACCTCCCCATGACTCCTCCAAAGTTGTAATCTGCTGACTGCTCACACGGAGATGGGACGTCATTTTTGGAGGAACCCTTCTCTTCCAGTAGTGGTCCACTGCTGGCTTCACTGTCTGCTTTCTGGCTGAGATTATCAGAGAAGGCATCATCCCTGAAACAGCACAGTCAGATCTATTCAGCGGACCTTCATAAAGGCCCTGCAAAGTCCCTTTTCAAACATAACCACTGCTAAAACTGATGACATTGTTACGCACAAGTCTTGCACAACAATATACTGATGGGGGATGAGGCCGTCCACGCCGTTGTGACGACCCTCCCACCAGTCCTCAGAGGCCCGGTGATACAGAAGAAGAGATGCTCCCTTCTTGAAGGACAGCTCCCGGGGACTGCGTCCTGTGTAGTCGAACTTGGCAATGGCTTCAATTTGTTCGACCTCTGAAACAACAGGCGAGCAAAATTACAGAAGATATATTTCAGAAAAAGAAGCAACACATGACTAGAGACATACTGGCTTACTTTTTTTAAGCCAACAGACAAAAATTGGCCTACATGCATGTGGGAAAATTGCCATGCAAATTGCATTTTTTTCACATTTAGGTTCCTTTAGCTAAGATATCTGTATGCATTGTTTTACAAATAAAAGATTGTATAATTTACTTCAAATTGAAGGAATATGTGCCTATTTTGATGTTATTTTTAATATCATATAATATAACACTGTTAATTTATCCACAGCGGGAATAATAATCTGTGCTTAAATAGAAACCTTTTGAAAATTGTCTTTACATTGGCTGAAGATGAAATGAAAATTTAATTCAAAATTATTTCACTATAGACATTTCACATACATGCTTGTTTTGTTTTTTCCAATAAAAAAATTAAACAAGTGAATAAATTATATTTTGAAAACATTTTTTTTTACGTCTCAGCTAAAAAAGTGCCCTGCAGTGTGTTCCACAGGCCAGCAGGGGTCAGTCAAAGTTAACTGTTCAACAGCGGTCATATGTTAGCAGGAAAGACACAATTTAAAAAGAAAACGCCCAGAAAGTTTGATGTTCTTAACCCACCAGAGATGGATGTTTGAGCTGCCGTTTGAGGCAAAATGGAACCGAGCTGTAGTTCAAATGCAACCTAAATTAAAAGACAGATGCTACCCTCACCACTGCAGGGGATTCGCTCCCAATTAACATGAGCCTGTTTTGCTTTCATGAAAAACGAGCTACTGCCAGAGGACACTAAAAACTGTTATGTATGAAGGGTGACCAGAAAGGCTTTGCTTCCTTTTTTCAAGTGAGAACAAGAAAATATAATAGATAGAGAGTTTCTAACACCCTCCAAAAAAAATGTCATTTACAAAGCTGAAATTTTAAGAAACAGCACTGGAGAGATCCCTCAGTTTATAAGCAACACTGTGGCTCCTGTGCCTGGCCCGGTTATGTATTCAAAGCTCAGAGGACGAGCGAGGAAACACTATACAAAGGAGAATGTCCCGAGAGAATCGCTGAATAACAGCGAACAAAGAGTCAGCGCGGAGAGGGGGGAGGCACGCGCTCACATACACACAGCAACACAGATCAAAAAGACTACACTGCATGCCAGCACTGTTTACTCAAGTTGCCTTTAGCTTCAAACATCACCTAAGCCTTTTTGCCTTCAGAAGCTGCTGCAGCTCATACTGCACATTCTCAAGAGTGGAAATATAGTCGATACGACAAGCCTTCAAGGTATTTTGAGCCAAAAAGTCTGAAAGGATGTTCTCTTGTCTAAAATAAATGTTGTACAGTGCCTCCTGCATTTATTGGCCACACTGGTAAATATGTGTAGAACGCATTAAAACAAACTCGTCTTTTATTGCAGTAGCACAGAGTCACACTGGAAGAATCTGTTAGTTTATTTTGTAATTTAATTTTTTATTTAACTTTTTTTTATTTTTTTTGCAAATGTACTAGTGTTAGTTATTTGAACAACCCTTATTTTCAAAAAACAAACAAAGCAAATAAAAGTACAGCACTCAGGATTCTACAGAATTTCACAAGTTTGGAACAGACAGTGAGAGGAAACTGTGACCATTTTTCTCCTGGAGCTTCGCTCAATGTTTCTTCACTCCACATGTTTTCTACTGGATTCAGGTTCAGGGACTGAGACCTAAATCTCAGTCAAAAGCCTTCTATTGTAGAGGCTTTTGTTTCAAATGCCATTAAAGCTGAAAGCATACACATATCATAATGCATCTTGCTATTTAACACCTCAACAGTGTATTTACCTTCATCACTAGTGTGTGGCTCAGTTCCATTATCAACTTCATCGATGGTTCCTGGTTCACTGTGGGGACTGTCACTACACAAAGAAATGTGAAGTGAAATTTTATCACTAATAACTTAAACAGCCAAAACTATTTTCATGCACAAACTCATGAAAATAGTAATTCTCCTATTTGTCTTAGCGACAAATAGGAGAATAGGAAAATTACTCTGATTTTTATAAGTTTATTCCCGGATAAGGGCACCACTCACCAGTACTCTTCCCCACCCGTCATGCACTTCTCGTAGACTGGCCCATCCAGCTCACGCTGATTTGGGAAGATGACTTCATGGTTGATGATGATGGTCTTGATCACTTCGTTGACATGTGCCTGACACGCCACAGGATCCTGGCCGTCCGGGATGGGCATCAGAGTGGGGCCGAAGCAGATGGCTAAATTGTAGGGATCCATCATGTTTTCATCGCTGTACTGGGAAAGACTGAGGAACAAGAAAGCAGAGGTTGATGATTCCACCTGTATATGGCTGGTTTGTGATATTGTTGAAGGGAGCAGTACTTTATCTTTAAAAGCAAGAAAAATTGCAGAGACTAAAAAGCAGCTGAAAAAATCTGCTGAAAGAAGAAAGACATGTCTGTAAATTGAGGATGTTTTATGTGGAGTTGTCGGGAAAGATCAGAGCTTTTCTATGAAAGGAACAGTGATAAAAGATAAATCTTGCAAAGGGACTTTGTTTCAAAGGAACACAGTTTCACATGCTTCAATTCACAGCCGTGACATTTGCTTTAAAAGCATTTGCAATCATCCAACATACTGAAATCCACTTATAGAGCTTCCACTACAGAGTAACCCTTTTTAACCAAATCTTTCAGTGGAGCAACAGGAAATCATAATCAGTCTTTGCACATTATTAACAGGCTAAGTGTGGGCAGAAACAGTGCAGCTGGAATCGCTCCAACAGAGCACAATATATAAAGTCAGTGTCTTTGATCTGCAGGCAGCAAGTGAAGGTGGCATTAATAACATCTGTTATGAGAGAAATATTACACCGCTGCAGAAAGATATGAGTTTTCAGATCTGTACATAACTTCTCAAACACATGTAAGATTGCATATTTGGTATATCGAGTCTCTTTCCTTTACTTGCAATCTATTTGGTGTTTGTTCAACACAGAGGAGAATTACATTTGCATGCAAAATAAGGCACAAGATTCAATGTCGTATCCTCTGTCGGGACTATGTAAAGCACAAACTCATTTTTGCACGCTGTTACAGAGGAGGACTTGTAACTTGAGGTTTAAGGACTAAAACTCACTGATTGAGAAATGCAAAAAGGTATCTCATGACGATTATGATGGTCCGAGGAAGAGTAACGACTATCTGCTGGATGTGATGGGCTCTCTCCGCTTCTGACTCCAGCTCTGAAACAGCAGAAAGTAAAAGATGGCAAACATCAATTAAAATAATTTCACTTTGACATGGCTACTTGCTAAGCAAAAGAACATTGAATGATTTGTAATTACTACAAATATTTATGTTAAAACGGTAAAGTTTTTTTTAGTTCCCAGTTTTTATTTATGTTTTTTTTTTTTTTACCAATCAGGCCTGAGAGTATAGTCTGGAAATAATCTGAGATCAGAAGTGAATGATGGGATTGGAAATAGAGTTTAGAAATGTGAATATTTCCCTCATATTTTTTCTATTCTTTTTTCATGTTTATCCAGACCTGGAAAATAGTTCTGGTAATTGTGTATTAAACTATTCTTATCGGCCTGGTTCTCTGAGGCAGATCGTAGCCACATGGTGGTATGATTAGGTCCATGTTGGGAATGGCACAGTCTTATTTTTAAGAAAACGTAAGGTGTCAATTTTTCTTTTTTCATCCCCATCTTGTTTAAGTCTTTTCTGCTGACTCACTGATGGTGGAGATGAAATCCAGGAAACGCTCCTTTGGGAAGAGCGGGTTCTCCAGCCCTCTGAAATACAGCTTCAGCACTCCTGCCACTGAGTTAATATCATGGTCATTCTGGTCATCAATCAGTGGATCCTCACCTAAAAGAGAACAACATCTGATGAACCAAACTTTGGTCTGAATTGGTTTGTCCTGCTTAAGTGCTTTGGAGATAAAAAACTCACCTCTTTCAAATGAGTTTTTGATGTCGTTGACTTCCACCTGTGATCCTGGCACGCGAAATATCCCCTGCTGCTGCAACCCTGGGAGAAATCCAAACCAGATTTCACTGATTTAGAACTACGTTGGCTGTCACTATCTTGAAACCACATCACCAGCTTCATGACAGAGCTTTGGAAACATATAACACAGGGCAGGAAATGTAATCTAGTCGTAAAGAGAGAGATACGTATTTTTCCAGGCAAGGGCCCCCTCAGTGAGCCGGCAGCATGTGGTTTTAGTTAGAGGGTTCTAATCAGTTTTCTGTAGTTTCATTAGGTCCAGATCCAGAGCAGAGGCCTGCAGGCCACAGCAACGAGCTGAAGACAGATGTGAAGGTAGACAGGGAGAAAGTCTAAAGAGGTTAGGGGGCGGACTGAACCCGATGAAACAAAGACTAGTTGGGAGACTCAAAACTCTGTATGTGATCTGTTGTCAAGTTACAGTCAGCCAGCTGAGAGCTTCAAAGAGTGTGGCGGTCAGTTCTTGTCAATTGTAAAGGTTAACAGAAGCACAATGAACTTATTTTATTGTTTCTTTTTACTGCCTTTTTGCTCTGAGGAAACAGCAATAAAAGCACGAAATGAAACTTACCGTAGAGATTGATGTATCTGACGCAGCTTTCAACAACAAGCGGAATCGGTTGGCCTGAATCCTGAAACGTTGTGAGACAAAAGAAAAATATAAGGATATAAAAGACACACATTCCATCTTATGAATATTGTAATTGTAAATAATGATTCTTGCTGCATGTACAGTGGCTTGCAAAAGAATTCATTGGTCATCACAAAGTACTCCTCAATTGGGATGTAGAAGTGAAAGGATGTGTGGTTTTAATTTGTTTTTACAAATAAAAAAATGTGGCATGCATAAGCATTCAGGACCTTCTGAGCCAATGCTTGCATCTTCTCTGATGCAAAACTTTTTTGGCAAACTGCAAACAGAACGTCTTGCATGTTTCCTTCAACAAGGACTTTTCTTCTTACCTCTATTTCAAATTTCCAAAATGTGTCAAGAGATAATCTAAAAGTGATTCTTTTTGGCTGCTTTTCTGGTTAATGCTCTGCTTACTTGACTTGCTGGATGTCAATGTCTTGGTAAGTTTGCTGGTATCCTCTTTTATCTTTCAAACAATATAATGCATGGTGTTTTGTAAGATATTAAAAATTAAGTTATTGTTTTGTAACCTAACCCTACATTAAGGCTTTTAACGACTTTCTCCCTGTGTTTCTTGGTCTTCAAGATGCTTTTTTTTCACTAATGTTCTTGAAAAAATCAGAGTTCTTTAATAATTAGGTGATTTCTGAGTATAACTGGTTGCCCTGGATTTAGGAGTACCAGAATAAAGGGGGTAAGTTCAAATGTATGAGAGACTAGATGTTTATTTGAAAAGAAACTTCTTATTTGTCTCCCATCTCTATTTGTTCAATCGCATATAATCTGTATAAAATGCATTCAAATTTTTGGTTGTGGCATAAAAATGTAAATGAGTTCAAAGAAATATAAAAACTTTGGCAAGCACTGTATCAGAGCCATCTGGCATGCATATCAATCTTTAACTGTGCAATATGTAAAACACAACAAGGAGGACATGTTTTATTAGATAACAGAAGCAAAGCGACAAAAAAAAACTGAAGTTATGCAAAATATTTCTCAAGTGCAGCACAGTAGAGGAACATGAATAAATAGTATTAGTATACGAATAGTCTGGTGTCCCTTCCAGCCAGAACCACATTCTTTACTAACAGTGATACCTGAATACGAGTACGGGCATTCCTTCTTCCTCTGGGAAAGAAAGCAGCAAAGCAGAGGAAGAAGAGACAGAGAAACCACAGGGTTAGAAGAAAAACTCAGATTGTTATTGACCCTGCTGTGGGTTAAGGGCGGTTAAACACAGGGATTGACAAAAGGACGCTACAGAGTGCAGTCAGGACTGGGTGCAGAAAGGAACAGAGCAAAGATGCAGATTTCTCCTGTATCTCAGCCATCACAGGCTGACTGGGTTTAGACAGGAAGCTGAAGACACTAAATTGTTCTGCAGGGAAATAAAGGGACGATTGATAGCTACTGTGTCCATATATACCAGCAGGACTATGGAAGGAAGGAGCTTTAGAGGTTAAATCAGGGTGTTATAACCAAAAGCCAGCTGGAAAAGGGAGGAGCGGAAAGCTCAATTTTGTGAGAGAGTAACAGTGAAGGTTCTGGCTGCGTTCCCTCAGATCCTCAGGGGATGCTCAGTCATACAACACCACCAACACCACCAGGGGTACCTGTATGAAGGTCTCCATATTGCCGTTAAACAGTTTATGGTTAAAAATGGAGCGTGGCCTAGGTTTCCGCATTTTCTGTGGTTTAGGGGGAAGGGTGGGCGGCCTAGGAATAATTGACAAGGGGGACAAAAATACCACAATGTGAAAAGGGAGAAAGCAAAATAAAAATAACAGACATAGTTGCTAATCAAAAGCTATAGATATATTAAACTTTCACAGAAATTTGACTGAGGAAAAATGAAACACAAGAATCTGGCTTAGAAAAATACTTCAAAACAAATACATTAAAATCATATGATATTTAGGATTTTTTACATTTGATTCTGTACATTGTAATTAAAAATTAAACTTCAAATTAGGAAGATAAATAATAAATAAGGTTGTCTGATCACTGTGTTAGAATTATGGTGTTCATACATATTTCCTACACACATGGATGGATAGATGGATGGATGGATGGATGGATGGATGGATGGATGGATGGATGGATGGATGGATGGATGGATGATGGATGGATGGATGGATGATGGATGGATGGATGGATGGATGGATGGATGGATGGATGGATGGATGGATGGATGGATGGATGGATGGATGGATGGATGAAAAAAAGAAAATCTTTTAGGGAAGGGATACAAGGTAAAATGCCTAAAAACAAAATTGTTTTTAAAGTAATTAAATCATTTTTTTTTTGTTTTTCCAAACTTGCGAATAGGTAGTCTTGAAGTTGCTGGAACCACGTTTTTTATTATTTGAGTCAAATGCAATAGCAGTAAAGCTGAGACTAGGACCGACATCTTACCTCGTTGTTCCACACTCTGCTCTTTCCCCTGAAGAAAAAACAAAAGAGGAACTTGTTATATTCTTGTCTCTTTATGTTGCACATTATGCAAAGTCCAATCAGTGTCCTGTCCCACTAAAGGATTTCAAAACAGACAGAATGAGCAAAGCAAAATAAATAGAGCTTTGCTAACACCATTCAAGGGACAAAACCAGCAAACAGTCATTGTGCCCCAGGGGACACAAGAGGCCCCCCTAAAACAATCTCAGGCGTTTCTCTTGGAGTTGATGAAGCTGGGGTAGCTGCCGTGTGTGCAGGCTGTGGCGGGAGGGTCCATCTGTGGTGACATTGAATGATGTCTGTACTGGTTCACCGAGCCTTTTGTTGTGGCTTTCCCATCAGCACAGGCACAGATTGATAACCTCGTTTCATTCATTAAACAAAAGATTTGAACAAAAATGTGTTTTAAAAGTGAGTAAAACATTATGACACCCCACCTCTAATAGCTGGTTACTCCCTTTAGGCAAAATAACTTCTGAGAGATGAGTCTTCTTGCGTTACACCGATACGTGACATCAGTCTAAGAAACGTTTGATCCTCATTTCAGCCATAAAATGTTTGAGTGGTTCCTTACTTTTACAACCCATTTCAAGTCAACCGACATTTTAAAAGGATAAAGGTCTGGACTTGCCCCAAGACTTTTCATTTACGATAAAAATGGAGCACAACTGGACCTTTCAACATAAAGATGACCTAAAACAGCATTGAATCTGTCAAAGAGTAGCAGAGAATTAAATTATGTTTCAGATTCAAATGGTTTACAGACGGTTATATTTCGTTCAAGCTCCCTCTGATGCACGGTAGACTTGAATGATTCTATGACTTGGACAGGTTCTGCTGCAGCAAAGTATCTCCAACGATTTCCACCTTCATACTTCAATGTTAGTGTGAGGTTCTTCTCCTGGATTGCTGCATTTGGTCTAAGCCAAACACGTTTCCTGTTATCTATCATGGTGTCTTGATGATTCAACTTCAGACTCATCTCTCAAAATAACATTAACTCAGAAGTCCTGGTCTTTGCCCTTGTTCCAAGTTAGAGAGCAAAGGTTTCCCTCCTATTTAACTGAAACTTAATACTTTAAAAAATCAAGAGTTGCAAGAGCCTGCTGACATTTTAGCGTATTTGCAGACTTATTTTAGCGTCTTGAGTTCTGCTTTCAACATGAACTTGTTTGAAATGTTTGCAAGTGTCAGAAGCCTTCAAACCTTCAAATTTCCACACACAAAACATCCATGAAGAGAAAGCCATCTCTACTTTTACACTGCTCACCTCAAACTTGAAAACCTTTTCAAACGTTCGAAATAGTAATCAACTTTTGACAAGACAAAAACAAATAGACTGAATGGCCACTTGTGAAACTTAGGTTGAGATAAATACATACATATATATTTAGCACATAACCACTTGGTGCCAGACCTTGATATTATGTTTTTATTAACACACACAGCAAGATGTAAACGCCATGTGGCACTAACCAGTTTCATCTCGTTCCCTGTCATCCTGACACCACCCACACACATGCACAAACACCCTGTTTTGAGTGTGAGGCAGCCAGCTAATGAGCACGACTCAACCGTAATTTATCGACTAAATAATTAAACATGGGTGGTACCTTTTTGGCACCATATGGTCTGCTCCTGCGTTCTCTCAGCTGCTCCACTGTGGACACTTGACCACAGAATAAAGTGTTTATGCGAATAAAAAGACTATAATATTTTGCCAACATGGAACCAAAAAGGGCAATTTGAGGTCATAAATGAATGGGTCCTGAGCGTGAAATAAATTGAAATATATGCTGAGTTTGTGTGAGAAATTCAGCTGTCCATTTTCATATTAGGTGCACCCCCGATGGAGGAGCAGCTGCAGAAATGGGCCCTGGTTTGATCCAGCTGATTGACTGGGTGTAAAGCTGTTCATCACAACTGAGGTGACAGTCGTGATGAACGACGGCCCCTGGGGAAATAGGTGGAGCCAAGGTGATCCGTTCCCCTACAGCTTGGAAATGGAAACTCTTGCAGTGACTAGTGAGTATATTCACTCAGAAGACAACACTGACCAGCAGAGATAGCAGAAAGAGAAATTAACACCTCAAAGTAACTATGGTCTGTTTACAGTGTGATATAACTCCTTTTGAAACTCACTTCTTTTTTCTGTTCCCTGCTGCCTTTAAAAAAAAAAGCCTTTTGTGGAAATGGAAACAAACAAATTGATTGGCCTCCATATTAAAGAAGAATAGAAAGACCTAAAATAAATCAGCATAATCTCACAGCAAAAATTACTTAACTTGAATATATTTATGCGTTGGAGAAAAACCCTTGCTAAGAAACTACTGTTTTTAAAATTAATGTGGCTATAATTATCTGTACCCCTAAATAAATGTAACCAAAATTTTTTTGATCGTTTTTAAAAAACCAAGTGTGATAAATAAAAAGTCTATTTACCTTCTCCCAGCGTCTGCTTCAGTAAATCATGCTTCGCCTGCAGTTTGATGATGAGGTTACTGCCGTTCAGGTACTCTTTAAATTTCTAGGAGGTGAGATGGAAGTAAAATGAGTTAAAGGAGTCAAACGTAGTTAATCTGTCATAAAAGTTAAATAGTCCAGGATCAAAGAAATGGCAGAAATGTAATTTATTGTAATTCCAAGTCTGCTCTTCCACATTTCAGAGCATGGGGAAGAGCAGAGTGTTGCTCACAGCGGGCCGATGGTCATTAGGAAGTAGACGGGTCGACACAGACTCACCGAAAAGTAGAAAGTTTCGGTCTCTTGCTGGTTTGACCTCCTCTTGGCTACATTGAGTTTGCTCATATATGACTCAGAGGCCACAGACTTGATGGATTCAGTGGAGCGGCTGTGCTGAAAGGCATCTGACACGTCAAAGTCCTCCACTGTCAGCATGTCCTGGAGTGTTTGCATGGTTGCATCCAAGGTCTTCCTCACCTGGTTACCAGCAGCGTGTGGGACGGAGGGAAGATAACAAAATGTTTTGGTTTTTTAAAATCAGGAGTTCAATTATAGGAACTGTTTTGAATTTTGATTTGATGATAATAATAAATCATCCTAGAGTGACCTGAATTAGGTAGATTAGAACGTAATAAAGGCATAAATTGAGAGCATCCTGCAGGCCCATATTAGACTGTGATGAACCACAATGTTTTTGACCCGACAAAGAGGCTTTTTGATTAATAAATGTCGTTCCCAGTAATGGCGTGGCTGTTCAATTTTCTCTGTGAATACAACATGAGAAGATAGGGCTCCAGAGTCATTACCACCTCTATTTACATCAGTCTGCTCCTTATAAAAGAAAACCTTGGCTTCTTGACAAAACAGCCAGTCTGAGGGACATACAGGGTTGGACTCCTGCGGAGCTGAGGGAATTGGGGAGTAAAGAGAACAGATGGTGATGTAGATATTCTACTTGGTGTTTTACCCTTCAGCGGTGTGGTAGTCTAAGGAAAATGAGAAGCATTCAGACAAATCTCATAAATCCTTACTTCTTCGTTCTCGATCTTTAGTGTTGCTAACCGAGACTGCAGTTGGTGGTAGCGCATCAGGAGCTCAGTTTGTACCGGCTGCTGGGCGCTGACCTGGCACACCTACGGAGGACAAACGGATTGGGTTACGCAAAACAACCCAAAGTGTTTAGAGTTACCTTACAAAAAGCCAGATCTGGGGAATGACAGCATTTAGATCCTCTCACCTCATCTCCCATGTGTGGCAGGTATTCAAAGCGCATCGGAGGACAGAACACCTGGTTATGCATATCCATGATCTTGTGCTTATCACTGCGAGAGTCCAGGTTGTCCACAGCATTCTCAATGATATCCAGTCCCTCGTGGCGCGAAGTCTCCAGGTTGTACTCCGCAGACAGGTACGTCCTGAAGGTGCGCGCCAAACTGGCATGGTAGCCAAGATCACAGCACTTTGAAAGAAGAAAATGCAAAGGACAAATGACGATTAAATTTATAATTAGGTATCTTTAAGGGGGACTGCAAAGGAGGAAAAATCTTTTTGGGATTAATAGCTTCTTAGCAGAGTTTCAACAACATGAGAAGTTAGAATACTGTGTCTTCAGCTTGTTTAGGTGTTTAGACAAGAACAGATTGGTCCACATAATGATATATGATGTTCCATTCTCAACAGCACAAAGATTTTCTATTACTGGGATTCCTAAGGTTTATTGTAATGAACTGTGTTATTCCATTAGGATCAGGATAAAACGAAGTGATAATGTTGTATAGAGTAGGTACTTAAGCACTTTGTACAAGGCACTTTGCCTTGTAGCTGAAAATGTGCTACATAAATAAAATTACCTTTACCTTCACCTTTAAAGTTGGAATAACTACTTCTATTCTGTTAAGACAAAAATTAATTACAATAATGTACTTTTTTCTGAAACTGTAACATTTTAATCACACAATGATAATCGTATAATGCAAAAATACATAAGTCTTCCTCACTATGATAATATAGAAAGCCTTTGTACAATACTGTACATTTTTCAGAGCACCTCAGAGTGTATGTTCAAGCCTCTTTAATTGACTAAATGCCTAATCATGCCCTGCTACATGGTAATGCTTAAAAATAGAAGAATTACAGGAGCTGGCACTGTGCTACACGAGGGATAATTACAGAGTCTTATCACACAGAGCTGGATGAAGTAACCTAATTAGGCAGAGGATGCTACTGATGATGTTTAAAGGGAGCTAGGGGCAGCTGACAGCACTGTAAATCACCAAGCAAACACTCTTTAAAACTCTTTAGCGTTGAGGAAGTTGTCTCACCCCCTTCTTCTGCACAAGCATCATTTCGACTCTCTGTCAAGTCGGCTCACTAGACCCAAATCTAAGGGGAGTAAATTGGCCCCTTTTTTAAAACAAGCAAACACACTGAGAATGTGTGCATACAAATCCAGAAGCAGCTGAGAGCAGATGATTCAAGAAGCTTTAACAATGTGAAACATTTGAGCCGTATTTAGTTGCGTCTCCTATGTTCTCTTGAAGTCAAATAAATTTAGCAGGTTTTAGATTTTGAACCTAAATGTGTGTGTTTGTGAAAGATAAATGTACGGCAGTAAGTTGTGTTAACTTGTTATTAATTTTGTTAAAGAGTTGAATAAACTAGAGTTTCAAGGTTAGCAATTAAAAAAGCAATTGTTGTACCTTGAGATAGAAGTGCATTACTTTGATCTGACTCTTGAGTTTTATTAAGGCAAATGTTTATTTTAATCCAATTTTCAGTTTGCAAATCATGACCATAATGTCCTGTGATGTTAAATAAAATTCATTATCAGATCAGAAATGTCATTTTTGTATTTTGAAACAAGAATTTTTAAACAATAATTTAAATTAAGTAAAATAATTAGTTATATTAACTTGATAAGATGAGTAAAAATAATACAGAAATGTGTAATCTTTAACTAGAGTGAGGGCAGTGTTTTTCCTTTCATATTGTGAAATAATTATTTGGTTTAAATTACAACATTAAGTTAAAATTCACAAGTCAAGATTAATGAACTATCATTAATCTACTAGCTAAAAAATACAATGTTTAGACACTTGTTTCTTGTTGTTAAATCAACTTCATGAACATTAATTTCTGAGTTAAAGCAAAATCAGTTTTCTTATTGACTGAATTGGCATTTTGAAGGCAGCAGGTTGACTTTCATTCTCAAGTTAAACCACCTTCAAATGTCTTACAATGCTCATTCAAGATATTCTGATACCCACACTCGATACTCCATGCCTTGACACCACTAAGTAAACACTTGCAAAGCGATCATAACTCATCAGCTGAATTTGAACAACCTATTTCCTGTAACACATTTTGCCTCCATGAGGTAAATAATCAAGTCCAAGTGCATAATGTCTCACTGTGACTTAGATATGACAAAAAATGCATTTTTTTCTCACTTACTGTGGTGGAAAGATAAATGAGGATTAGCTTAAATAGATGCAGTTCACCAGGATTTGCAATGACATGGACCATTTAGTGTCCAGAAAGCAGATCCACAGCAGCAGCCACACAATGAGGCAAAAGGGCAAATGCTCTCAAAATGTTCATCTATCATCTTTAGATTATTAAGTGGCTGCAAATAACTTCCTAAAGCTCTTTTAATGAGATCTCTTCACTGAAACATGACAGTGCTTCTAAACTGATTGGACTGTAAGCTGACTTGAAACATGAGGAGCTGCAGTACTGGGAAAAATATTTCACCTGTTGTTTTACTTTTTGTTACACATAAATGTTTCATATTATGAAACAAATGTCAATGTCAGACAAGGAGGACCAGAGTAATCATAAAAAGACAAGTTCAAAAAACCTGGTTAATCAGTATTAATTTATGATGATATAAAGAGGGGCAGTTCTTTTCAACCCAAGCCAACATTGTTTCAGATAGCTTTCTTGTTCTGAAGACTGATTTTATTTTTGTTCTGGTTATCTTTGTCTGATTAAAAAGAAATAGTTTGACAATCTGAAATAGTTTAGTGTGACAAAAAAGCAAAAACTGAAACTTTCACAGAACTTTATGCAAAAAGAATGCATAAATGTTGTTTTGTGTGGAAAAGAAAACAACATTACTACCATACATTTACTGACACATAACATCAAATCAAAACCCATACATCATAGTTTTAAATTTTTCTGATCAGCCGTAATCGCAGACTCTTCACATTGATCAGCTCTAAGTCTGGTTGGTTTTTCATGGCGTGACCTATCATTTCTGCGAAACCAATATTTTTTTTACTCAAGGAAAGAGTTTATCAAGAACCCTTTTCAGTTTTCATTTTCCATTTTCTTTTCCAGTCAGATCTCCAAAATGCATGACTGTGTCGAAACACACATTTTATTGAAGCAATCAAAAGCAAAAATAGATGGATAATTTGTCTAAGCAAATTATCCATTGTAATAAATACCACATTACAGAATAAAGTGGCAGAAAATAAATATTTTCATTCAATTCATTATGGAACAAATTAGACTGTGGCAAAAGGAGGGGAAACTTTGCTAAGTAATGGAATTAATGAATCAATTTTGCACCTCTGTGCAAAAAGGTGCACTGTGTGCAAAGACAAAGTAACAATGTGTTCATTAAAAAGGATTTTTTTTTCTTTTTCAATTCCTACTAATGTTCCTCTGGTCCCTGAGCGCCGAGCAACTACAGCCAATCAGACAAACAGATTTAAGCATACATTAGGAGCCGAGCAACCATCTTAAACGCTGATGAAGAGTTTATTACAGTGCTGTTATCTTACAGTTAAGACTCTACTGCATCAGATCTGCCTCTGAATCATTTGTTTTTCACTGAATTTCACTCTGCAGATCTCCTAAACGCAACTAATTAAGAACATGACAGAGACAGGCAGAACCAATAACATTTTGTCAACACCGATGAAGCCTCATTAATTTAACAGTGAGAAACATGCCTACACATCACTGTTGAATGCATTGCCTCAACTGTCGACAGTCACCAAAAATTAGTGTCAAGGATTGTTACGCGGCAATTAATAATAAAGAAATGGCAGCGTCTTCGTTTACCGAGGCCAGCAGAGCAGCTTGAAAACAAACAGCAAACAGGCTGAGAGGGAATGAGACATGAGAACAGATGGCGAGAAAAGTGACAGTGCTGCAGAGAAAAATCAACACAAGAGGTCCCGGCTGAGAGAGACAAACACATGCTCCAAGCGCATACTTACATCAATCATGTCGGAGACGTCGTGGATATAGTATTTTGCCACCACTGCATTGGTTGCTGCCAGGTTCAACAAATAGTCATTCCTGGCTTTTGTGCATTTCAGCTTATTCTCTGAATACTTGGCTTGCCTCTGAGGAGGAGAGAAGAGAACAAGAGAGGCAGATGAAGGGAAAGTGCAGTGCAATGGAGGAGTCTTCCTGTAAACACCAAAGAAACAGTCTGCATGAAGAGACAGGTAGAGATGGCCTAGAAATTTTGAAGGAAGGCTAAAAAGAATCTGCCTCTAGACAGTATTAAACTGAGCTGGATTTGCATTTTGTTAATATTATTCCCCTCTACAGGTTTCCCACTGAGGGGATTCCTGTGGTTGCATCGAACTGATAAAGGGACCAGATTTAAACCCTTTTTATGCTTAGAAACTCAACACAGTTGTCAATATTAAATATGACTGAACAGCTTTATAAATCCCTGCATGACAGAAGTATGTGGACATTTTGAGATTTGCTTTCTAGAATTTCACTGTATGCTAACCTGAGAAAGCTCACAACAGAGCTGCACAAAAGCGTGGCTCAAACAATGCACCATCGTGCATTGTCTATCTAATGCTGGTCTATCTAATCACCTAGATAGACCAGGCTGGTTTTATTAAGATTTAGTACTTAATATAAAGTATTTAATACTACACAAAGTAGTATTAATAAGACTAATACTACTTTGTGTTGGTCTATCACCTAAAATCTTAATAAAATGCCTTGATATTTGAGGCTGTAATGTGGCTAAACATGGGGTGTTTTTCATGGCACACTAGCTGAATATGTATCAAGCATATTTGTTTACCAACTGATTGGATTTTCAGTGCTTTAATTGTTTGGCAGATTAAAGTTATGCACTTCTCAAGCAAATCAGAAAAAAGCCTTGTCTTCTTCATTGGTTTTGTACATTTCCCGATTCACTTGAGTTTTCCATTTCCAATTTCAAAAAGCTATTGTGCGCATAGAAGGAAGGAAAAATGAGTAACTCTCTTCCTTCCTTTTCATGCAACCCACTTCCATGTAGAGTAATAAGAGACGAGCTTGCAGTCGAGAGACAAAAAAAAAGAAAAGATGAATCCTCATTGCGACTCTGTGTTATAAATAGTCTGGAGCTTCCAGAGCAGGTGGAGCCACTGAAGTTTGCAGGCTAAGGAGAAGTTTTGATTTCCTGCTCCTCAGAGATAATAGGAGTTTCTCTATTTGCAAAAAGAAATCCAGGAGTAAGCTCAGAATATAAAACGCATGGTCGCATCTGAAGGACAGAAGGCTCAAGAGAACAAGAGCCTGGCAAGTCTGGCAGAGAAAGCGGAAATCTACATAAGCTGGAGAGGGAAATGGGTTATTGCAAGGTTTGGATCTGGCTGAAGACCTCAAACTGCTCCTATGACTGTCTGATGTTAATTTCTTTTCTCTCTGCAAGACTTTTTCTCTCCCAATTTTCCATCTCAAACGCTAAACATTTAAAATTGATAAGATTTTCCTCAAGGGTTTTTCAAGCCCAAGTCCTGAGTGGAGGGTTAAAAATGTACATAGCATGCATGAATCCAGTGCGAGGAATAATTACACAACACTCTTCTCTCCTTACACATGCTTACCTTTTCTTTCATCTTCTCAATCTTTCTGGCAGAGCTGCGCCGCGGCTGGCGGTCTTCATGGCGCAGGAGGTTGACGTTAAGATCTCCGGACTTGCTGAACTGCTTTTCCTCCTGCTTTTCTGCATCTTTCAGCTTGCTCTCAGCGCTGATGCTCTCAGTGTGGTACATGTGGTATGTCTTCATCACCTGGAGGGAGACAAAAGAGACATTGTTCCAGTTATACAAGTAGATTGCATTTTTCCTGAAGTGGGGTTTTCAATAGTTGTTAATAGTCAGTTCAGTTGACAATCCTCTCTCAAGTAAGACTGTCATAAATGACTCCACAATTCACAATTTTATAAAAAATTAAATTAAATTAATAAAAAATGTATGTAAATACTTAGTGGTTACGGACCACCAAGTATCTTGAATTCACTTCGCACTAATCTAAGTATTTTAATGGCAACTAATCACCTAGTCAGTTTTGTTTTGTTGCCCAAATTTAGTTAAAACTCGCAAAAAAACTGAGATCTTCAGTAGAGAGTGCATTACTGCACACACAACAGAAGAACATCAACACTGACAAGATAAAAACACAAAAAATTAAAAATAAAATGTCTTACAAAGTTACGTTTTTAAACAAAACAAGAAATGTAAAATTGAAAGGTTTTGTTAACAGCCTGAGACAAAGAGTTTTGCACTGGTCCCAACATATTCCACCCGCAATGAAAAAATACAAAACAACCAACACAAGCTAAGGTGGATTAATATACGTCACCCGAGCCCTAAAATCAAAACTTACAACACACCAATCTGTGCTTGTCCTCATTTACACATGAGCCACACTTGTGCAATGAATTGCAACAGTGTTATTGTTGGTTTGAAGCCTCCTTATCTCAGCCTGCAGCATGAATAAGAAAAAACATTAATCTTTAAAGGAAATATCATCTGTATTTCAGAGTTCACGGTTTTGAAAGTCTACTTTGATTTTTGCCTTTTCGTTGATGCCTGGTGGATCCGTTTGAGATGTCAATATCCCAGAAAACACAGATGACTCAACCGGAGGATTATTTAATTGGATACAGGGTTGTTTACAGTTTTGTCCCACTTGTCAAATCTCCAATTTACCATCTCACCCTGAGCTCTTTTCTCACTTTTTGTAAGTGCTGATGTTGTTTGACATGTTTTCTTCAATTATTTAGTTACTTTGATCTATTCTAACACAAAATATACTTCTTCCTCAAAACTTAAAAAAAACTCCTCATTACACAACAGAAGTGCCCTTAATATGTCTTAATCTGTCCCAGATGCTTCTGGAGAGACTCTCCTCTTCAATCTTTAAGCCTCATAAAGGAAAGTCCAGATGTGAGAGGCATCTTCAAATACCTCAAGATGGTTGACAGTCAATATAAACAATCATCGAACAGCTGGATGCCTTTCATCTGGAAGCTGCAGGAACACAACTGTAATTTACCACTACTTCCTCTTTCATGTCAGTTGTGTATGAAAATGCAGCTTAAGGCCAATAACACTTCAGAACCGAGTTTTTACACAACTGATCAATGGATACATGACGTGATCTTCACCAAAGCCAGACTGCCGCAGATATTTTGGTAAGTCCAAAAAGTCTTCCAGTTAAGTATTGGCAAACAAATGCACTGCTAAAGAACTTTATGCAGTTAGGTAACAATGGCCCAAATGAGATGTTACTTAATCCAATGCTATGTTATGTCATAAAGTATTCAGGTATAATAACCGAACAAATGAAACTGAAGAAATTATGTAAAACTATTTTTTGCAGAATACAATTCATTAAAATAAGTTCTTCATTGATGAAGAATACATTAGGACACCCCATATTATCTTTCACAGAAAATGCCAAATATTACACACAGGTTTATTAGAGCAGCCACATATTTTTATAACACTATACACAGCATTTTGAGCAATATACATTTTTGTTGCAACTTTGATTAACTTTTTCTAAAATTTGTTAAACCTCCAGTTGTCAGATACTCTCTTATCTACAACACCCGCAGCTAGTAAGACAGAGTAATTTGCAGAAATGTTTTCCTTTAGCTGTCACTACAAAAAGTGTGTTGAGTCCTGTGACAACAGCCATGGGCTCCCCGGTTTCTAAGCTGTTATTTAAAAGACAGTAAAATAAAAAGCTGGAGATTTCCTTAACGAGCAATGTCTTATCTTACACTACAGCAAAAATCCAAAGCAGATTTTCCAAACCATGCATTGCCCAGATTTGATAAAATCACTAAAGGTAAGGATATCATACCAACAAAAAAAAAAAAAAAAAAAAATATATATATATATATATATATATATATATATATATATATATATATATATATATATATATATATATATGTTTTACTATAACATCTTATCTTCAAGTCATCTGCTGCAATTACATCACTATCCCTGCATAATGAGGTGTAAAAAGCTGCAGTAAAATAATGACCTATCCTGGGAATATGTTGCCTCTCACCTCATGGAGACCTAATGGTCATTACTTGGAAATAAATGACATACTGTTAATTAATACACTGCAGTAAAAATATGTCCGCCTCCCTATACAACTCATTTGTTTCTGCCTTTTGTCACTCTTAGACGTTTGAGATCGTCAAACTAATTTTAGTATCAGATAACTAGAGTTAATTCAATAAACTATTTTGAAACAATGGTTTTATCTATTAAGGGTTAGGGCTGGTATGTATGTCTGTATGTACAGCAGCTCAGAGTTTCCCTCAGTGTATTAAAGCCTGGCGGGTCACCAGGTTAAGCGATGTTAATTTATTTAAGTTTTTTTTAATTTTTTGCATTTTTTAAGACTTTGTGGTGTTCAGATATTAATTTTCTAAACTTATTACAACACATAATTATCAAGTGATATTTTTAAATTTCCTGTCAATTTTAAACATTTTTTTTACTCAAAAACACTGAATGGCTGCCGGAGCGCCCAAACCACCAGGCTGAGCAAGTTTTCTAGGGGAAACCTTGGCAGCTTCAACACTTCTTAAAATTGTCTTCAGTGTAATCCTTGTAAATGATGTGTCTGTTCAGTAATAATGAAAAATCTCTATAAAATTTGGACCCGTTCATGAAAGCAGACCGTGTAAAACAATCTGCATAACAGGCCTAGGAGTTTCACCAAATTCATAGAAAAAAATAAATGAAATTCAGTGTAGCTTTAACAGACTTAAACAGAATCAATGAATGAGGAATATCACAAACCAAAAGAATAAAGCTACATCAAAACCTGACACTGGAGTTGTTGACAAAAGAACACCTGTTTGTGAGACAGACGTGCAGATATGAGACTCAAGGTGGCGGATCCGAGAGATAAGAGGAGCCGAGTCTTTATTGATCCCGGGAGGAAATGTAGTCTGTATGGCAGGATATTAATTCACGTAGAAACCAAGAGAGCAATATTTCTCTGATCTCTGTTGATGACACCAGCAATAGGAAGTGCCGACTCATGACTTTCCCTCATTTTCTCAACTCAGATCCAGTGCTAATATCAAGTTAAATGTTTCTTCTACTTCAGAGAAAAGTAAACAGTCCCTGGGGTCAACATGTACATTACTGGGTTTTCAGCTGTTAAAAATATGTTGGTACATAACACAATTTTCAAGTTTTTTCCAGTTTTATGTGAAAGACCGATGTAAATTATCAAGAGGTACATGGGTACACAAATATTATAAAATATGATAACTGATTAAGAAGTTCTTTTAGATGTAATTTGTTCAGCTAATTGAACTTCTGAAAAGTAAAGTGTGCAGACAAAATGAAGACAAAATGACACAAAACTTGGAAATACTTAACAACTGACTGAGATTTTGACAAAAATGAAAAGACAGAATACTATATGCACAAACTCACTGCACTAAGTCAGTGGTGCCCAATGTCAGTGCTCAAGGGCCGGCATCCTGCATGTTTTATTCTCTCCTTGGTAGAAGTGACAACCTTTCCAGCATGTTCTTCTTAGGCCTCTAATGAGCCATCATTTGATCCAGGTGCGTTAAACCAGGGAGAGAACTGAAACACGCAGGACGCCGTCCCTCCAGGACCAACTTTGGACACCCCTGCACTAAGTGTATCAAATAGGAAAAAAAAAAAGTTCATAAAAAGTTGTATGTGCAAAAATATACTGGCTTGTACATATAAACGATTCATTTCAACGACAAACACTGTTTGTTGATGTAGCATTTCCCCCCCCCCCATCAGAGCTGCACAGTTTTACGTAAGTCCACAAAGTGTGTCACAATTAAAAGGAATGAGGCTTCATGTCCACATTCAGATGCTTAATTATCTGCCAGATCTTAACAGAGGCCAAGTAGATCATGATAAGAGGGGCCATCTGAGTTTTATTACATTTCTGAAGGAGGAAAATGGAGAAAGCAAATTTGTAATAAAAAAAAACAAACAAACTACTGACTGAGTAGTTCTCTACAAGTTGTCTGAGCGGCCAACATATAGCGAGCAGAGCAGCCTCGTACAATGAAAGCTATTAAAAGATACTTGTTGAGAGTACATGTATCTGATATTCCTGTTGTTGTGACACTCAAACCCACAGATAACTCGATCGGGGAAAGTTCCCAATGTTACCCTTTGATATTTTTGACTCTTCTCACACTGCTAAGATGAATAAGTCATATAAGTCAGCGCTGCCCTGTCTTCTATTTCACCTCAGGGGGCAGAAGATTGCTGAATTTGCTTGGAGCTCGTCCAGTTTTAGACACTAAGCCTCTCTCAGTAAAAACGCATCAGAGCAGAAAAAGTGCCCAGTGCTCTTATCCTTGTGCTACAGTTAACTTTGTGTGGATTCCCCTGCAGAAAACGCCATTGATTACAAGCTAATTTTCAACAATACTAGATTTGAGAAAATATGTGAAGCACTTCACATGATCTAACAGAACAATGTGATTTTGTTTATGCTGTAAAATGATGACATAATACCACAGCATGTTAGACACTAAAATAAATGGAGAGAAAAAATCTCTGATCGCTCCCATTAATGTTGTTGATGAACTATGCAGTGCTCATATGTGACTGACTATTTTTCTACCAAGTAGTTCCGGTATTAAAACAATAAATTACCTATTGTATAAAAAAATCCATACATTAAGACTGTCAAATGAATACAGATCTATCTACAAAGTTATTTAATTTATTGCAGTCATTTTCTTCTTTGTCAACATTTGGAAAATCTCAAGTAAATTATGGGTGAGCTCAGTGAATTCAGTAAATTCAAGTGTGATACCATGCGAGGATTCACCCAATGCAATTAAATTTCCAACCGCAGGTCACACTCAGCGTGAAAAGGTTGTGGAAAACCAGAGTCGGGTCAGCATTAGACATTAGTGTGAAGAGTTTAAGAAATGTTAGAAAGTTAAAAGACACAAACCTCTAAAAAATTATTTGTATGACATTTATATCAGTTTAAGAATAGTGTGTACAGAGATTTAAGGTATGGGTTTCCAAACTTACATCATCAAGTGCAATGCAAAGCCTTGAATGCAATGGTGTAAATCAGGTCATGGTTGAACTCTACAGCAGAGGAGACAGGTTCTCTGCACTGTTGAATTACGTCTCTCATCTGGCAATCCAAGATGAGACTGAAATTTGCAGTTGCCAGGAGAAGGGAAACTTGTCTGACTGCATTGCAGTCTAGTAACAAGTTTGGTGCAGAGTCAATTGTGGTGTGGATTCATCCCCTTAGATCCAGTGAGAGAAACTCTTTGTGCATCAGCATAGCAAGACATTTAGGACAATTTTAGGCTCCTAGCTCTTTGTGGAACAGTGTGGGGAGGGACTTTTCCTGTTTGAACATGACAGGACACCAGCGCACCATGTCGTGGTCCATAAATAAGTCTTAGCCCTAATTCCCCTGTCACACTTCTGCATATCTGCCTTTCGATGCGCTGCTTCAGTATTGCCTGTCTACACATCTGGCACTTTAGTTAGGTGAATTTAGGAAAACGAGGCATTGCAAATATTGCTTTACTACCATGTCAATTTTCTACAATAAAAATGTCCTCGTTGCTCATTGTGATTACAAAGATTTGTATGGACAGTGAGAGTCCATCAAAGAGACCAAACATTTATAGACGATCAGAGTTTTATTGTACGTGAAATATTATAGACTACATAACATTGCATCCAAGCTGCTCCTTGTGATTGGTATTGCAATGACAATTTATTACTTAATAAGTTGTGGAGATATGATGTCGATAACAGGAGATAGTATTTCATGAAATGCATTGATTTTCTTCACATTTAGACTTACATAAATGGGCTTTATAGATAACAAGATAGCAAATAGTGTGGCAGCACGCGATCTGTGAATTCAATGATCAACCTGAAGTTGGTATGAGCTCATGGTTCTTCCAGATGTGGAAGTGATTACAGCTTACAAACTGTCCCACGTTCCTTTAAATCACTCACAACTACCTGATCTCTCTGCTGATGTTCGTCATCATTGTTCATCATCAGCTCATTCTGTTGGTGTATGTTCTTAGTCATCCAGGAAATGGCAGTCTTAACCATTTAAATTGAAGGCAACTGGACTTTTTCTCATCAACTCAGTTGTACAAATCCAATATTGAACAGATTTTAGTGAAACAAAATGGAAGGAAAAACCTCCTTGCTGTATCAAAGTTTAAAAATCAATTTGTTTAAAAACCAATGACCTATAACAACTTCCACAACTAATCAAGAGAAAAAAATCAAAAGCACATGGCAGAAAGTTTTCAACAAAGTTAGCATTCTTACAGAAATGCATGCGTTTGCTTTTTATCTAAAGGATTTTTTAAAAGGCAACAAGAACAATCACATAATATGCAGAGCCCTCAATAATGCACAGAAATATAAAGTAAAGAAGTAACATGAAAAAATTAAATGGAAAATAGGAGAAGATGTCGGAAAGATTAAGTGAGGATGAAAACTTTGTCCTGGGATGGCGATGAGATGAGGTGTGAGAGATCAATCTGCAGGAGATGCAGTCTATTACTCACAGTGTAAAGTTCATTTGTCACCTTCACCAGCTCCTCGTGCATCTGGATCCCAATTTCTTTGCTCTGGAAATCAACAAGATGGGAAAAAGGTTTGTCAGTCGTGAGCTGATGGAACAAGCACAGTCGACTTTCCCAATGGTATGACTTTGGTAAGTCAAACGGCATTTACTACAGCAGGTCTACAGCAGGTAACTAGTTTAGAAAAGTCAACAATAATTCACTGGAGCAATGGCTCAGATTCTCCTTAAAAAACTGCAGCACTGATCCGTCTCCCCAGGCAAGTTAACAACCATTCACATCTTGAAACGTGACCAAAACAAGTATCATCCTGAATTTGTTAGGAAACACTTTAATGGTCCAAAGGGGCACATTGTTGGGTTATGTGATCATAGACACTATTAGTGTGATTGATGTTATTGCAATTTAAAAGCCTGACTCTCTTAAGCCAAGTACAGAACTGATAATAGAAAGAACAGCATATATGGTGCTCCACACAAGACAGGCAACTCAAATCTGCACAGCATGTCGCAAAATCCAACTTTTGCGCTGACATATAACATGGGATTGAACTGATAAAACTAGAAAAATATCCTCATCATGGAGCTCACATTAAAGTTTGTTTTCCTCTGTTTCTTAGAGGAAAACAGAAATGGGACAAGATGAAAGCAAGCTGGAAGAGCAGTGGCTGGGTTTGCAGGGCAGTCTCATTCAGACCCTACACTGAACTCAATCATAATGCAAAGAGGAGGAGGAGGAGAGCTTTACTAGCCAACCAAATGCCTAAATACCCTTTAAAAATACCCAAACACACACTCTTAAAAATAACAATCATCATAACTTTTGACACACATCCACACTGACGTGCGAGCAATCAAACCACACAGCCAGTTTAGCTTTCTCCCGCGAGCTTGCTTAGCGGGAGATTTTGCTGTCACATTGAAAATAGTAATGGTTTGTATGGGAGCGATGGAAAGCCTTTTTTCTGACGTGTGAAAATGCACAAACAGCAGGACACATCAGTGTGACTGTGTCAGACGTAACGAAAGCATCACTTCTGCAAACATACTGAGAATATCAGCTTGGTGTGATGTGATGTAAATTAGCTCTCTTATTTGGCATTGTTTAATAATCAACCCTCTTTACATGAAGTATACTTTTAAACACATACACTGGACACCACAGACAAAAACAACCAAAGGAAAGAACATGAATCATACTTGTCCATGTAACTTATATAGAAGCAGTAATTTGAGCAATCAGAAGGCATTTGTATACAAATTACAAATTGTTGCCCACTTTTCCCCCCAACCTCTTCCTCACCACCAATCTTCTATTGCTTTGCACACTAAATCTTTCTTTAAATGTATTATAATTGTACTAGATGAATCATTTCCACCTCTGCAGGCAAAATTGATACTGAACAATAAAATATAAAATGACCTTGTTTTGTTATGTTAAGAAATCTTTCAATTTCCCAAAATTACATAAATAATTTTAAAGCATAATCACAAAACCGTTTTCAACAGTGAAAGCCACGACTAAATGCCTTCTCTGAGCAATGCTTTTTATTTTTGCACAAGGGAGACAGGAATCTGTTGTAAAAACAGATGAGTAATACCTGCAGAAACCACAACCAGAGAGATAAATTCAAAAAAAGGTGAAAGTTGTTCAGACCTGACTTGGAAACAACTAAGGCAGCTAGGTCTTACATTAGCAGAATCCTATTTTAACATGTGCACATGAAATTTGTGTCAAAAAAAAAAAAGGAATTGCATTATTGGTTGCAAAATTGAGCAATGTACCTGGAGTGCAAGCATTACGCTGCTTAAGAAAGCTTTTCTGAACTCAATAAACAAGATGCATCCTCTGAGGGCACAAGCAGCTGGTGAGCAGCATCTGTATGCATCAGTAGCTCTGAGCTGAGACAGACTGCAGCATGCACTGCAGAGGTTTATGAGTGGGGAGGGTTCACCCAGCAAGCCAACAACCATGATGCAACACACACTTAGAGCTGTGGCAGGTGGGATGTAATAGCCTGCAAATGCATATTTTTTTAAAGGTGCAATCTGATATATGTAGCTGCACAGAAGCTTCACATGTTTTATATTTTTGCAAGTGAGACAAAAGAAGCAAACAGGTGGGACATAAAATCTTCACAACTGTGATCACAGGTACAGTTAGCCAATAAAATTGGAAAATTAAAAAACACCTCTGTGAATTCCCCGAAAGATTTAGTCTCATTCAAGCTAGGAAGCTGCTTCATTAAGTTTGGATAATTACAAACTGAACTGGTCACAATAAAACAAGAGAACTGATAAAAAATTTGATACACGGCTAAAACAATTCATTAACCACTAGAGTCAATAATCTACATAAAGTCTTAAAATCTTTTCTGTAATGTTTTTTTAATGACTACAAGCTAGTTTATAATTGTGTCACAAGATGACAATTATCAATGTCTATGTACAACAAAATGTTTTCGGAGTGTTTTATCTTCGTGAACAGAATCAGAAAATAACAAGCAAAAAAACAGTAAAACCAAAAACTTTCAGATATAAGAACAACACATTTCCTAAACCAAATTGTTTGAAAATGGCCTGCAAAAGAATAGACTTATCTGTGTTTTTTCACATAGAAAAAAATGTTTGACAGACATTGCTGATTTAACAATGCAGATTTTGTTTACCTGGAAAAAAACTATTTACTGTTCACCTTAAACACATCATAAAAATGTTTTTCATAATCAAACTATTCTTTTAGTTTGAATAAAACCAAAATATAATTCTTTGGCCTAAACTCAAAGCTTTATTAGACTAACAGGCGCTGCTAATCACCTGGCTAACACCATCCATACAGTGAAGAGCAGTGGTGGCAGAATCATACTGTGGGGTTGATTTTCTGCATCAGGAACATCATGACTAGTCTGCATAAAAAATTAAAATTAAAATTATTGCACATTTCTCTAAAGAGCTGTTTTGCTGGATATTTCCAGAATATTATAAGTAGATTTTCACAAAGAAAATCCCAAGTCTATTTTGTAATAAGCCTGTAATTAAACAAAAAATAGAAGAAAGAAAGAGAGAAAAAGGACTGTTTTATGAACAATTTCCAGGGTCATTAATACTGTAGCTTGGGAACAAAATGATTAATGGTGGTGAAAACTAAATGTTTAAGTAATTTATTTGTGTCTAATAGTTCTGCCAACTATAGCTGCAGCAGAGCCATCCATTCACCCTTTAATATGTGGAAACAGATGTCTAAACCTGGTTTGGTTTTTCTTCCTTTTCAGGTCTGGAAAGGTGTCGACACACATATCTGAGTTTTAACCTACAGGAAAGCCCGCAAGGTGAAAACATCATTCTGGTGTTTGGATAAGACCCAAGTTATTCCTGCTATGTGCTGACAGTCAGCCAGATGTTGCTCACACTCATAGGGGATGTAGAGTTTAGGATGATAAGGAAGGACACTTTTTTTTATCCCTAAATGGCTTTTAAGGCTTTATGGACCATAAAAACATCAGGCAGGTTACAAACATACATAAACAAATCCATACAAATACAGCTCTATAGGTTTTACATTAATAGTAAGGTTCACAATTTAAATATCTGCAAATGGGTTTAATTGTCATGAAAACTCACTCAACTACACATAAACCAGCATCTGTGTGTAGAATATTAAAATAATACACACATGAACAGCATGACAATGATAAAAACAAATACTCAAAGTCACCTAGCTGTGCGTTATATCTTCTTTCGTAGTCAAATTTTTTCTTGTAGCACACTGAGATCAATGTGGTGACAGTTTCACTGACCTTCTTGAACAGGCGGATGACGTCCTCACCGATCTGAGCCAAGCGCACGATGACGTTGTTGGTGTAGATGTCGCTGAGCGTGGCATGGTCTCGGCTCTCACGCCTTGTCTGGTTCAGCAACAGATACCAGCAGTTTACGGAGGACAGCAAGTGCTGGTCTTTCCTGGAATGATAACAGCAGCAATACACGGGTGTCAGGGGATCCATAAGAATGAAACCCAGAGCAACTAAGTGTTCCTGGGAATTGTAAGTTAAATACAAGACAAATAACCTGAACTTTGAGTAGGCTTTATTCCCCGAATGAGAATGTTTTCCTCTTTCACCAAACTGCATCCTGGTTAGTAAAGGATACGTTTTTAATGCTGGTGACCATAATAATCCAGAGAGTCAAGAGCACTATTGCTGCATAATCAGTTTATATTTTGCCTTGGGTGGTTTCAAATAGAGGCAGCAAGGTGCATTTATATCTATCCAGACAGATGCACACGCAAACACGTGACCAATTCAGACCTGTCTCGACCACATCGGGGTTTTAATCAATCAAACAACCCTGGGGGAGGGGCTTAGACAAAACAGAGCAAGGGGGAAATGGGAGTGAAGGAGGAAGAGAACCAGGACATGGTGGGGAATTGGGTTTCACTGTGAAGAGAAATGGATAAGCACCACCAACATCAAAGGCATCCTCTGCAGAGAGCTTTCATGATGTTGATCACATTGAATGAAGCTGATAAGTGGCAAATAAAGTGGGTTAATTTTTATATCTAAGTGAACAAAGATACAAAAAACATACAATCCTCAGAAAACACAGATCAGGGTTTTCTTTTCAACAATTTTACATTTTTATTAAATGGTCAGGGGATTTGAACTAAAAACAGATGATATTGTTGTGCCCTCATGTAATACCACAAATATGGATAATAACAAATCATGAGGGGTAGAATCATCTGTCTCTTTTTGCCATATCGTTAAAAGCCCCATGCATAATATTTACAATTAATTTTCACAATTAATTTAACCAACAATACTGACACAAAACTGACTTATTTTTGTGTTAAATATCTGTTTTATAATATATTTACAACCAATGACAAAAAAGAAAAAAACATTTACTTTTCTGCCTCCCCCAATCACTTCAGGGCTCTTCTCAGCAAGTGACCAATCAGCTAAAAGTACAGCTGCAGCCAGACAGATTTTGAGGAATATAATAATCAGTCCAAGTTGTCAGTGGATTATATGCAACCCTGACAGCCGTTATAAACAATGATATTACTTACAAATACGGTGGTAAGATATTAGCGCTTTTTCTGGTAACGAACTGTCACAAAGTATAAATCAGATTTGACTTTAGTGTTGAATTTTGTCATATTTACGACCAATGACAAAAAGAAACAAAAATAATTTTTTCTGTAAAATTCACCAATGTGAACTTTAGAAAATAACTGGTATTTCAAAAGAGCAGAAGAAATCTTATTCTTTTTGAATAATAATATTTGTTAATCTGTCGCAAAGAGATAAGCGCATTTCCTGGTAACCAAGTGTAACGAAGTAAACATCTGATCGTTTACTAAATTTACCAACCGGAAATTTCTTGTGTCTAAGCAGATAAGCAGTATTTCAAAACAACTTATGTTTTATAAGCAATAATATTACTAATTTAGTGTTAAGAGGTGAGCGTTTTTCGTTCTGGTAAAAAACTGCCATGAAGTATAAATCAGATTTTTACATTTGTGTTGGAATGTCTGTTTTATACATTTGCAACCAATCACTAAAAAAAACGAACATTTTAACTTTTCTGCAAAATTCACCAACTGCACAATTATTGTTATGTAATAAAAGACAAGTAGTATTTCAAAAGAGCAGAGGAAATCTTATGTTTTTTGAACAATAACAATACATGTTGTTAATCGGTTGCTAAGAGATGAGAACATTTTCTGATAGCCAGAAAACGTGCTCATCCGTAAACATCTGACTTTCTTTTTTAAAGTCAAAATCAGAAGGCAATTCTTCTACATTAACACAAACATTGGGAAAAGTTTGTCCAGAAAATGGATGGATGGATGGACAAACATTAGCAGTGAACTTCTCCCTAGTTTTTTTTATTCATTAGCTGTGTTTAGCACACTGAATGGAGGAAGTCAATGTAAGACAACATGCTTGTAATATTCCACATGCCACTGTGAGTATTTGGGCTAACATTACCATTTTGGCTAATTTGATCTAATGTGCTCATTTTAACATCCTGAATGGAGTAAGTCCATGTTACTCAACATGCTTGTGACTCTCCACATGCTATTGAGTACATTGTAGCTTACTTTTTAGCGTCAGAACGATGGGTTCAAACTGATGGGCACAATTTGTCAGGCCCCGTTTAAACGTCCTCAGAAATATTCTAGCTTGTTGTTGCTCCTCCTGCTTTGTTCTCTTCAAAACACAAGAAGGTGTGTGTATCAATTAAACTACCCTCATTAGCTTATTAACTGTTCAATACAAGTGTTTCATTACAGGTTGTCTCTAAAAGACATGCATTGATTCAGCCTTTAGAATATTGCTCTTTTATCAAACATCTACGGTAAAGTTATGTAAATAGTAAATAATGGTATTCATCTAGCATTTATAAATCAATGATCCAGTATTTCAAAGACACTTTGTGTCTTTAGTGATTTGCCTATTAATACTTACTAAAAACAAACAAAAAGACAAGTGAGTATAAAAACAGAAATATATTCAACATAGTGGCTGAATGAGAGAGCCTGAAATGTGGAGAGTGCAAATGCTTCATATGGCGGACAAAAGCTGTGAAGTCTTGAAAGAAACAGAGGACACAAAATCTGTTGTTCCCTCTCCGCTGCCCTCATTTCACAGAAATGAGGAGCAGAGGGCCGTTAATTAGGCCGGAGTGCTTCACCAGCAGCGTCTCTAGGAGCCGAGTCTGTTAACACCGTACTAATTGTAGCTCTTTGGCTTGTTTTATGGCACTGACAGAAACTAGTTTCTATGTCTTCAGGGGACTGTCAATCACAAAAGACAAACTGCACCACAAATTCTTTTCTTTGTACTTCCCTCCATCTTCCTACAAATGACCTGCAGATTGCATGCCCTCTGATAACCAAGATATATCACTAACAAGAAGAAAAGGCTAAACACTGAAAAAAGGAGTTATACACAGTCTTTTTGCTTCTACTGCATCGTTCTCAGCCAGTAGTAAATGACCACAGAGTCTTGCAAAACTATTTTTATCCTTTGAACTTTTTTCCCCATTTTGTCATGTAACTAGTAACTTGGGGTGTTTTCTCACCTCATAGTCTTGGAAACTCAGTTCAGTTGGGGACCAAATGCACAACATTTGTTACATTTTCAGCTGCTGCTGTTCACTTTCCCACTGCACTGTGTCAAATGAACAAAACCCTTTCAAAAACCTGCTGACCTCTTCCCCTGTGATGGCGCTGCATGAAGACCCACTGGAGAAAACATGACAACCACAAAAAAAAAAGACGAGTGCAACTTCCTTCTTCTCCATATATAAACCAAAATGAAGTATCATCAGACTCTAGTGGTGGTAGTATTTCTCTTCTGTCTTTGGTAAAAGACCACAATCTATTTCTTCCTTTGGTGCTAGACAGATGTTTTGGTTGTATTTATCCAGCATCCCTGCACTGTAGTCACTTCCTCCTTTTGGAGCGCTCTCCGGTCCGCAAGCATTCACACGTGCATTTGAACTGCACCAGAGTTCACTTCAACCAAAAAGAGACCAATGTTTTTAGGCGGACCAAAGTTCACTTTTTTGGCCGCATTGCATGCTCACACCTCCCCAAACGTACAGATCGATTAAAGCAGACTAAACAGGGCTGGGATTTTGTCTGATACAGCTGAGCTGTGAAGGGTTCACAGATTCAACAGAGAATATTAGAAATGTTTGCTGTGTTCCTCAGTCCTGGGAAAAAGATGTGTAAAAGTTTAAAGCAGAACGTCATGCCAAGCTTTAAACATCTGACACAAAACCTTTCAATTTGAAAATGACACAAATCACCAAGCCATCAAACTCTGTGTGAAAACCAATAATACTTTGAACAACATAGAATGATTCATACATGCTTCAATTTTCTGGATGAGGATTAAATTCTAAAGTTGAAATACATTGCAATAATTCCTTCACACAATGATAAACAAAAATAAAGTTTCCCCTCGTAATGCATGCAGTGAGAGTCAGTGAGAGTTATAAAACAGGGTCATTGCTTTACTTATAATTGTACTGAATTCCACCATCCAATCCCTCAGAGCCTGTGATGCGTCTGAGCCAGGATTTGCAGAAGGAAGTCTGTATTTATCAACTCAGGGCTCCGCTCTGTCGCCTTTAATCTCTTCCACACTGGTTCGCTTCCACTTCTCCATAAAACAGTCAAAGAAAAAGGAAAAGAGAGACAAATAGCTTCAAAAGACAAGGAGGAGGCACATGTTCAAGCTTTGGGAATAAAATTCACTTTGGCTCCATTTTGCGCGTTCTTTGTTATTCTACATTGACACACCAGTCACTATTTCAGTCTTTTCTATTAAGAGTTTCATAATTTGACATCGCACAGCTGTACAGACACACAGGCCAAAGCCGGGCACCATTGGTGAAGACGTGATGGAGATTTGGAAAGACAAAAAAAAAACATAAAAACAAAGCTGCAAACCAGCTGACCTATTCATCGTCTGCGAGATGACATCTGCCAGCTGGGCTCGTCAACCTGACAAGAGCCGAGTACCGGCTCCTCTGTTCAAACAAACAAAGCCTGGTGAGATATAGCTCAACCTTTTACCCTCTGCCCTGCAGGCCGCCAGAAAAGAGACTTACTTCAAGAACATAGTTGCACTCAATGGGTATAAAGCTGTACAAGCCACTCAGTGTCAGTGTCTGAAGCACCATCCAACAGGAGCAAACATCATTCTACAATGTTACATCGTAACTAAAGGGGATAACCAAGAATCTCTTCAAACCAAATAACTCCACTTCCTGATAAATACGACATACAGAGAAACATCAACTCAGTGGGAAAAGGACTGCATACCAAACAACAAACCGAAAAATTATTTTATACTGGTACCATTAAAAAAGCCAAAAATTCAATCTTATTTTTTATCTACTTATCATCATGGACATGAAAGCCACATTAATCTGGTGCTTTTAATTATGCTATTGAAGACTTAATTATATAATTTGGATGTTTAATAATTTTGTGAAACAAGCACTAAAGGGAACAATTTGGATTTATTTAGCAGTCTTGCATTTGCATGCATGCATATGCTAAAATATATAACTTCACCCCTAACGCTATTCAACTGAATGTCCCTTAGCAAATGTATTTGTAGCCATCAACAACCTTCTAGAATAGATGGATATGTGCCCACTATCACTAGAAGAACACGGGCAGAGTTAGGACAAAGCTTTAAATCACAGTCTGCAAAGTTTCAATAAGATTAGTTTACTTTTATCCTGCTGTTTTTGTTCCAAAATGTGTCTATGTTTAGGATCATTGTCAATTAGAATCACTAATTGTGCCTAAATTTCCCTTTCCTGGGATGGGGGCGTCAGAAAGGTGGCTCGCCAAAAACTTCCTTTGTGCTTGATTGAACTGTGTAACTTCCTACATAGCAAAACTAAAAGACTTCTGAAGAAAAGTTTAGGGTTACAAGCATTGAGCTACCTGACCACAACCTGGGATCAACAGCTAAACAAAACATATTTGACATTAATTGGGTTTACTCTGGATGATTTGATCCCAAAAACTTGATCTGTGCCAGGAAGCCACCAGTTTAAACAATTTCTACTGGTTCTACCAAAAAAGTGGTCAAAATCCTGGCAGAACTATGCACAGGCAAGGATGGTGTTTTGAAATATTAGTCTAACTGTATGTATATCAACCTTACATGTATATTTATGACTCTATGCAATGAAGGAAAACCCACAATATAATCAGACTTCTGCACTGAATTTTTATTTTTGAAGTTATATCACGTGCTGCATTTTGTTTTTGCGCTGAAAACTGGATTCAGCTACAGAAAACAAAAAGCGTCGCACAGGGCCGCACGTTCCCCTGAAGTATTGGGTTTCATTGTTGCAAGTGAGGTTAAGTGGGAAGAGCAAAATGATTCCTGGCTGGTTTTGCTGCGGTGTGGCTGTAGCTGCAGTAGCTGTAAATCAAAAGAAGCTACAGCTTGCTAATGAATCAGCAGGGAAAAGGGTTCAGCCGACACACTTTAGGCCTGGATCCAGGACATACACAAGTCCATCCTGGTTGGGATGACTCTGCTGTGCTGTTTTATTGTTTTGTCCCTTTAAAAATATTTAATTGCTGAGCATAAAAACACAGCTACATGCACAAAATAGGATGTAATGACAGCTACTGTACAAGGAACGCTGTGGCCAAACCAATTTTCCTGTTAATGTACATGGACACAGAGATAAAGCTTCCCCAAAAAGCTGTAAGTTCATCACAAAACTCTGAAAATTAAAATGTCAGAATTCAAGGCTTGGCATTTTTTCCCGATGATACAAACAGCTTGTTTTGGTTTTCTGCCATCTAACTGTTCTGATTGGACAAACACAAGTGGTTTTCAAGTCTGGGCTCATTTGGTGTTTTTGGCGGCTTGTGATTATCCTAACTACTCGTAAGTAGAAAGAAAACCACAGCAAAGGGTGTGCCACTGCTGATTACAAGCATCTAGCGTCCACACAAGGTGAAACGTTGCTTTGCATGTTTTTTCGTTGCAGTGTGAAAAGTTCACACTACTGAAGAGACAGGAGTTGGTTATTGAAACAGAGGTCATAATACTGTAGAAAATAAGGAAGAGTGCCTATAATATATGCAAATGTGGCAAAAATGGAAGGTAATGACCCTTTTCAGTCTTAATTTTATTTCATGGTAGCTTTGCTCATTTAGTGAATAAAATTTTTGCATGTTTTTTTTTTTCCTTTTACAAATCAGCTTAAGCTCAAGTCAGTATTTTTCACGTCTTTCCACAAATTCTTAATGGAATTGGTGAATTTAATGAAAGCTAAAATCCATTCATCTTCTTTTACGAATTTCATTTTTGAAAGGTCTACTAGTTGTAGGCCTGGAGTTTGATTGATTAATGCCATCACAAATGTATACTTTGATCAAAACCATTCTATTGTAGCACTGGTGCCATGTTTGTCTTTATTGTCTCTAACATGTTTTTTCTTCCATCGTTTTCTGGTATTGAGGTCCATCCACTTCACCTTTAATTCTGAGCAGCTTCCTTGTCTCTGCTGAAAAAAAACATTCACAAAGCATGATGCTGCCTGTATCATGTTTCTCAGTGAGCATCTGTAGATTTAGTTTTCCACCACATAAACTTTAATTTTGATCTCATGTGACCAGAGCGCTTTCTATCAAGTGCTTTTCAGGATAAGTTCCTGCACCCAACCTGCAGATATTTGCACCTCCTCCAGAGCCATAACATAGCTGTACTTTCTATTTTATTATTATTATTTGTGAAGCTACATAGTAAAACGTCTGGAGTGAGATTGATTGTCACCAGAGCTGCCAAATGTTAATCTGTACGTTAGAAAATGTGAATGTGTCTTGACGCTCATGAAAACTATGATCTTGGATTTGGAAAGTTTTATTTAAACATGCCCATTTTAGGTGTACTTTTCTGTCAAATCTCTTGCTGATTGAAGAAGATAATCTGTAGACTCTAGTGGTTCACTACAGTGATGAGTCAACTGCAGGACATTTATATCCACGATAAATCAAGCTTTTATTCCTTAAAACCATATGGGATCAATTATCCCAGTACATCACAGTGAATTTCACACAAACAGCAGCAGTCTGCTTGTAATTTCTCCACACATGAGCTCATAAAGGAAGAACCGAAAGTCAGCGGACAGATGCTCAGTGGTCAGATGAGTTTACATCTGCATCAGCATGCTTTTGGCAAGCACAGATGGCTCTGTGTGCCAAATAGAAAAGATCAACACAAGGTCATTAAAACACCATCAATGAATGCATAGGTTTCATGAAGCATGAGCGACATGCATTTGTGCAAAGCATAATTGATGCAAAGGGTTATGTTGGATTCTTTGAGAGTACGCAGACTTCTATAACGGCTATTCTTAGCAGAACAAATCCTGCATAACTTACAGAATAAGTTATAATAAGTTGTGCATTAACCAGTCCAGATCTGTCTCCTCATAGAAATGTGTGCTGCCTCATGAGGAACACAATCAGACACCACAGCCACACAATGCTGAGTAACTGAAAGCTTGCTTCAAGAAAATAGACACATTTTCTTGAAGCAAAACTGCAGCAGTTGGTATTCTCAGTTCCTAAATGATTAAAATATGATTCAAAGGAAGTCTGATGTAACACAGTGGTAAACATGTTTGACCTGACAGTGTTTTCTGAGTTTCTACCTTCAAAGTTAAGATAAGTTCAAATATTATTGACAAATTGAAGTCAGTTGGACTCGTGAAGAGTCTATTTTGATCTTTTGTCTGTTTGTAAAATATAAGATGCAGAAGAAATTATAAAATTCAAGCTAGTATGTTGTTACATTTCAGAAATCTTTTCATCTTTCTGAATGCATAATTTTAGAAATTATGTATCCAGCTGATATTAATTTAAATTGCCTGGGGTTAGTAAATTATTTTGGAAAGGTGTATTTATGTTTGCTTGTTTGCTTCTGTTAGGGCATATTTAGATGTCACAATAAATCACCATTTTCAAATCTTTCCAATTAATCTGTCAGTTGTTTTAAACACCCCATTGAATAATTGCTTGTTAATCTGTAACTTTATTAACAACTCCAGCAGGTCAAAACTTCAGCGCCTCTTCACTTTATCAAATTTAAAAGAGGATTTAAAAAAAAAAAAAAAAAAAAAAGATGAACACCTAAAGTCCTGCAGCATTAATTTTAAAAAAATACATTCAAGCAGACATTATGGCAATGTGATGCCAACACAGATTCAGACCTGAGAACTGCTGCCAGTACACAGCTGCTCCGGCTCCCATTAGCACACTGAGCTAAGCTCTTCTGCTTGCCGTAGGTATTTCATTTGGAAAGCAGCGGAGCTTAATTTCATGCCCTGCGTGAGCCATGTAGCCGAGAGTTGGTGGGAAATTTGGGGCAAATGATGCCAGATTTCTACACTTGCACATGTTTTTGAAATTTTCGAGCAGAGGAATAAAAATGGGTGAAGTCTGAGAAAATCAGATTTAAATTACATAACATTCAGAAGCTGTTTTTGGCCATTTAAATTTCTATTCAGTGAGTTATTTGTTCGGTACATAAAAAATAGGGAAATGTTATATAGAAAAATATAAAAATATAAAATGCAATTTTTTTTCCTCTAATTTTGAAATAATAGTAAAATACTGAGCACAAAAACCTCCCTCCCTTTGCTCCTGTGATTATTATTGTGGAAAAGTTAGAAAAAATATTGTTATTCTGGCTCTTAAAAATAATCAGAATAAATAAATCAAATCAAAGATTTTCACATTCTGGGAATCGAAAACTGGGCACAAAATTCTCATCGGTCTTTGTGTGTAATTTAGCCTCGATCCTTACATTTTGAAAAAGTCCAGCATCTATTACAAATAGTTTTTGAATATTTATCTTTGATAATTTCTTATGAATGTTCGTTGTTTTCTGACTTAATATCTTGCATATTTAGACAGCCGCATGCTGCAAATACATTGTTTTTTTGTTGTTTGTTTGTTTTTCTCCAAATAGAGAATAAAACACATGAAGCTTTCTATGATTTTAGTTCAAAGCCAATGGAGACAAAGCAATAAATTCTAGAAACAAGCTTAAAGTACTGCTTTAATAAATAATGTTGAAAAACATGTCAAACCTTAAATTTTTCATTAAACAAAAAAACATCTTGCTGTTATAAGATGTTTTTTATAATGGCAGATGTAATGCATGTTGTCTGGTGAGGGAAAACTCACTTAAACTGCTGATGCTCCCTGGAACTGCGGATCTTTGAGGAGAATCTCTCAGCCAGTTTCTCCAAGCTGCGAGAGTATTCCAGTTCGATCTCAGCTTTGCGCCGGAAGAACTCCTGCAGGTCCTGCAGCAGCTGGATACGAGACTCCGACTGCTGCTCCAAGCATTTAAACTGCTCCACGAGCTGGTTACGGATCTCTGTTCATGATAAAACAACACAGAAATGACATTAATAGACAAACTGATAATTGATAATTAAAGACTGTGTTGAAGAGGATTTGTTTCCAAAGCACATTTAGACGATATAAAGATGTAACACAGAATACAGTAATGCAATTAAATATGCAATATTGGTAAGAAGAAAAATAATGAAGAAAGTAAAATGTATTTTAAAGCAAATATGTGTCACTGTAAATCAATAAAAACATAAAAATAACCCCTTAGCTAATTAAAAGTTGGCCTTGAAAAGATTTCAGTGAATAAAAGGATTAGCAACACATTTCAAACAATTTGACTCTTTTTGTCAGATTTGACACGACTCTCCAAGAAGGCAGAGATGTAAACAGGAGCAGACCAACACAGGGCTTTAAAAGTGAGGACTAAAGTTTTTATAATGGACTCAAAAATATTTAAAAAGTGCCACGTGACTAATGTATTCAGTCAAGTCAAATTTATTTGTATAGCAAATTTCAGCGACATATGAAAGAAGCTATAAACAATATATTTTGTCAAATGCCGTCATTAAAATCATCAAGCAAGAACTTGATGATTTTCATTTGTTTTCTGTTTCCTGTGTTGGTTAAAAGCCTTTCTGCAGCATTCTGGACAGACTGCAGAGCCTCTTCTTATTTAAACATATAAAAATGCTTCTGCAATAATCCACGTTTTAATAGCTAAAGCTTGCAAAGTCAGACTGGCTGTGTAATAAGGCATTCAGTCTTGTCTGCATTAAACTACAGATAGGGTCACATAACTATTGTTTGTTGCTGGTCAGAGACCATTTCTGACATGCAGTGGACTTAAATTAGCAATACATCTGAATATTATCTGAATAATAAGGTCAAGAAACATCAGGGGGAAGAATGTATGAACGCTGCGGTACTCCACATGAAACACTTCTAACTGGTTTGCAAAAAATGCATATTCTGACAGTAAGGTATGGGAAAACTTCGCTAGATTTCCCTACAGTAATGCACAGACTGCCAATTAAAAACATCATGACCACTGGACTCAAATAAAACTGTCAGATCAAATAATACTTGAATATTAAACACATTCAAGGTTCATCAACATGCCACTGTTTTCTAGTCAGTGGTGTTTATGGAAACTAGACTGAAATTTGTTATGACTCACAATTAATCCAAAAAGGGAGACTTTTGTTATAAATAAACTTCTCTTTGTTTTTCACAGTTCCACAACAGGAAGTTTCCAAAAGCTGAGGAACACACCTGCTAAAACAGAAAAGTGTTACATATCTCTGCAATACAAGAGACATTCAAGTGAGAGTCATTTATAAAGGTTTTGTACAAGAAATATTTATGATCAATAAAACAGCAAACAGTGCAAGACTGTAATATTATCAAAGATTTACCCTTCTGAATCACTTTGATCTTCAAGTATCAAAGATGTGCACGTTATAAAGAGTCTGCTTAAAGTACAGATAAAAATTGGGCTCCATGCAAAAGCAAGTCGGATGACCTGCATCAATGATTTCTCATAATTGTCCCTATGAATTTATCAGGCTGATCTAATGAGAAGGTAACGCACTCCCACACTCGGAAAAAACGACAAGTCACATCTCTGTTCAAGAGGAACCTGACACTACGAGGCAGAGCAAGGATCCTTCGTGCCTGTGGGAGCCACGAGCATAACCTGATTCCGCTTAATAGTGCTGTCATCAGCAGCAACGATGCCTCAACTCATGAACAGAGACAGACCTATCCCACAGAGAGAGAGAGAGAGAAACAGAGACAGAGAGAGAGAAAGAGAAATGAGGCGGATCTACCACAAGCAGAATGGTGTCACTTCACAGAAGGAAAGAAGCCTCCAGGTCTGATAAGAGAAGTTTCCCAATCTGATCTGGGTTTCTAAATTAAACGTACAAGTAAAACTGAATAAAAATGAAAGATGCATTCACTAGCTGTTTTTCTCTTTTAAATCTTCCTTTTATAGCTCAGTTCACCAGAGACAGCGGATTCACACAGAAAAACAGTTTAATGGTTATTTGTTTGCAAATATCCTTTGTGCCCTAAACTCCACCTTCTTGTGCTATGTTTGTCTTTAACAAGTCTGCCTTAAATTGTACATTACCAAAAGCAACTTGAACTTCATAATGAAAGTCACATCATGTTGCGACACCCTTCTGTTGCAGAGTGAGTCACTGCAAGTAATAGCCTCAGAATAAAGAAAAACAAGAACAGAGTGATTTTTGGCAGGGAGAGGAGCTGCTAGCTGAATGATAAAACCACACAGACTGTGTTTTTGTGCTGTTGAGGGTGCAATTTGGTCAGAGCCAAGCCCTCATCATAGATATGTGACGAGGAAACAGTGCTGTTGTGCAGCAGCAGCCTCTATGATGTCGTGCCGCCTGGCTTCAGCCCTAAACGCTGAACTCCACTCTGTGGTTAACCATTGTTCCTGCCCTCCTCTTTATCCAGGGGCCTCCTTTTCTCCCACCAACTCAAAGAGCTGAAAGCTCGGTTTAAAGTGGAAGCTCGAAACCAGACACCACTTTACTGCTCCGGTACTTTCAGGACTTGTGGTGCCAGACGTGCCGTTGTGTTCCCCGTTTTGTGCTCTTTCTTCCAGGAGAAAGGCGAAGCAAGCGAGCAAAGAGGACCGCCTGAGGAAAATGTGACACCGATATGCATGAGTGACGGGATTTAGTTCTGAAAACATTTTCTAAAAAGGCAACTCTGAACCACAAGCTGCAGCCACACTTTTAAAATACACAATTGAAGAAAGAAATAGGTCATGCACACACACACACACACACACACACACATGCACTCACCAAAAGTGCACCCATTCCTCTCAGAGACCATGAGCAATTGGAGAATTATTCCCCAGCTATTCCCAGCCCTTCGAGAAGCCTCATTCGCTGCGGCTTATTCAAAGAGAGCGACCCCTCTGTGCCTCTGTTCGGTCTTTGAAGAGAAGAAATGTTGTGGAAGCATGTCTGCGGTCAAATTGATTATGCGTGTTTATCTTGTTGAACTCCATCAAAGCAGGTTGTGTCATTATTTTTCTCCATTCACAGGAGGAAGATTTACTGCTTTACTTAATGGTCTCGGCAAAGAAAATGAACGAGTAGGGGAGCTTCAACAAGGCTAAGGTAAATGCAGCTGTCAGAATAATTCAGATTCAATGTAAGTGACGTATTACATTATTGCATCTACAAGATATTTTGTAAATCTGCCTTCGGCTGTCTTCTTCAATTTTCAACAAGAATTATCTTAATGAAGTGTAAAATTAGATTGGACTTCTATAAAAAAAATTATCAAAGAATTAAAGAACAGATAAATCATGTGGATTAAATACAGCTGATCCAAATCAAAGTCAATTATAGATAAAGGCAGATGCAAGCATGTAAGTATTCATTTTGACAGAAGTCAACTAATCAAAATGGCACCATTTCTTCAGATCAGTGACCTCATCACAACAAAAAGGTGTTGCTGTGGGAACAAACACACCGCTGTCTTCAGCAGTCGTGAGGCATGTAGGACGAAGCCAGAGGAAGGAAAGGCATCCAAGCTGGTCATTCACGCTGGGTCACTGAGGGAGTCAATGGCTACTCATGGGACTGATGTGCTGAAGTCAGTTTTCACTGCAAACTCAGCAGTTGCACATTTGTTTATGTGGAAAGCAGCTCCTACTATCTGACTTGCAGAGGGATTTCAGGAGTTTGGCTCAGTGTGTCTTCTGGAGTTTGAATAGTGTGTGCAGAAACGAACATCCTGCAGTCATGAGACCAAGGATTAATTATTCTGTGTAGTTAAACCAAATTAATAAAGGAGTGTGGCATCACAGTTATTTTTTTTTTAATCAAAATGATCTGGATTCGAAAGTTTCTTTGTTTTGACATGATATTATTTTTAATCTGTGTAAATTCCTGAAGAGCTAACTATTTTGTGCATTTTCAGTTTTTCAGAGACAGATGTGTTTTTTTAAATAACTGTTTTTATTTTATAATTAATATAAAGTATTTTTAGTTTTCAAATAATTTACAAAAACTAGTTTGCTATTCATAGTTCCTAGTAGATGGAAAATTAAACAATGAGAGGTCCACCAACACATTATTGTTTTTTGGGGGAGGGTAAATAAAATATTCTTGAATTTTTATTTCCATAGAAATTAATACATTGAAAAAGACTTAATCTCACATCAGCAGGTCAAATGTTTCCAAAATCCATGAGAAATTCATGCATTTCTTCCTAAAATAACTTGGTCATTTGGAGCAGCTCATGTAAGATTAGCCTTTTCAACAGTGCTTCTGATTATTCTATTAAATAAGTGACAGATAAATCCTCACACCTCCAGTTTGGAAAGCGATTATCTGGGCCATCAACCAAAAACATGACTCGTCAAACTCAGCATGAGTTAAGTTAAGCCTTTAATGTCACTGCTTTGTTGGATCTTGTCATAGGCAAGCAGCAATGCAGCCATCTGCTCTGTTTTTTGTGTGGGATCTTTTCTTTAATAGAAACAGGGACGGATGTGACAAGAGGCCGTCTAGCGGTGGGGGGGCGAGAGCATCTGAAATATGATTAACAGTCTAGTGGGATCAAACAAATGAGGGATGCACTTCTGTTTGGATAAATTCTCCTCTTACAACCTTTATAACAACCTAATCAGAATTAGGGCACCACACAGACTTTGATGATTCCTTTTTGCTGAGGTGGCTGAGCATGAATTGCATCTTTTCTGAGAGAGAAGCATCTTTGTGTATTATGAAAGAACACGTTTTTTTTTTGCTCCAAAATAGCATTTATGAACAGTTTGATATATTCTACACAAACACAAAAATGATAAAATGATAAACTGCAAATATCAATTTAAATGATACAGTATGTTCAACATAATCCATACTGTAAATGTGTTATGTTGAGCATTTATGAAACCCAGCAACATTTTTTTTTTAAATGCATGAACACAACTTTGCTCACATTAGCAACATCTAATACTACTCAGTTTATTTA